GAAAATTAAATTGCATAAGAGTAATGAGTACTGAATTTTGAACTTAAAATTTTTAAATCCATGGATTGGAGGTGTATCTTGATTCCAAAATTTGGGGGGGAGGGGTAATTGAAGGTTACAAACAGATAAACAGATATGAAGGTTGTAGCAGTATCTAGATAACCCATGATCTATTTCTACCACTCACTCGTGTGCATTTTCCCTGGCTCTCACCATACTACTCTCATACTGTTTAATACCACTCCTGCTATATGCATCGCATCACAGTGCAGCTTCCCCACCCATGCCACACCTCTTGCACACACCCATGCACCCTTCCCGACTCTCACAGTGCCTCTCGTGTAACAATCTGCACTTTTGCCACAATCCTTCACATGCTCATGCACCCACTTTCCATGCACCCTCCACAATCCACACCTCTTGCCCCTATGTACCCCTCATGCTCTCTGCATCTTTCCTGACCCAGACAATGTGTCTTGTGCAGCCCCTCGCACCCTCAAATACCCTCTCTGACATGCATGGTGCCTCCCACACACTCCTTCACTCCCTGTCTTACCTGGTAGCAGCCACTTATAATATAAAGCTCATAGAAATAGGAGAAAAAATCTGGAAACCAGCCATTTCAAAACCAAAATTCAACAACAAATATGATAATAAAATCATGCCTGCCCATCCATAAAAGTCAATGAAAATCATAGAAGTCATCCACACAATGCCCTGTTAAATAACACAGATTTCATTGTCTTGCTAAATACCAGTAAAAACAGTGCAAGGCATAGCTCTCCCATTGGAGAGAGCTAAAGTAGATGGGCCACTACAGAGAAGGACTGGCTTCAGGTCTACATTTTCCTGATTTGACCTAGGGAGAAGAACACAAGACTTTTTCCATATATGCATATGGGCTGGGCAGATTCCACTTGGACAAGACTCAATTGTCAGAAGGTTCTATATTGAAGGCACTTTGGGCAAATGACATAGGCTGTTCTCCAAACTGATTCCACCAGATATTCTGAATCAAAACTCAACGATAGTCAGCAATTTGTCATAGAGAATGGGAGTGCAGGTATAAAATATTTTGAAGAACCCATGTTGGGGATGCTGTCCTGGTTCTTGATACTGCTGCCTTATTTTGTTCAGTGCCTTATTCAATATTTATCTTGAAAGATTTCCATTGAAACACAACGGATGAAATAATTTACAAACATCTTAATTTCTCCAGTCATTGGTTTATATGTTCAACATTGTTCATTATAACTTTCTTAACCCCGGGTGGCAGCATTAAAGTCTTTGGGCTACATATATAAAATACAGCCACTTGATGTACCATAGGACCCATCTTTTCAAGCATTTGCTTCATGTGGCTGCATGATTTATGAACATCCGTTGAAGTAGCAAAGGTTATAGCTTGTGGTCATGCTGCCTTATTCTTTGTGGTTATTTTGGCTTGCTCTTTGTAGTGTATCTCTCGGGTATTAACCACAACTAGGTGGAGCTGTTTTATGTTACATAGAAGTTAAACTCTTAAGCCTCTCAAGTATGTGATGTATTTTGGCCAACCTTTTAGTGTCATATTCACCCTTGGAGTGTTTGTGTACCCTTAATATGAACCTTAGCCAAGGGCGCTGAGCCAGAATTGATATATACACGTATGCTTTTTATGTTGGTGAATGAAAAGGGAAAAAAAAATCTTATCTAAGAGTACTTTGAGATATTTTTATATCATACATTTCTTAGAAACATTTCAAGTGTTCGTCTTCCCAAGTCAATTCAAAAAATGTTCTTCAGGCAGTGTACAACAGCAAAAAACAACCTGAGAATTAAAATCACACAATTGACACCACAATTGAGATATTTTTATTTATATCATACATTTCTTAGAAACATTCAAGTGTTCGTCTTCCTAAGCCAATTCAAAAAATGTTCCTCAGGGCAGTGTACAGCAACAAAAAAACAACCTGAGAATTAAAATCATACAATTGAAACCACAATTGAGAATATTTTTATTTATATCATACATTTCTTAGAAACATTTCAAGTGTTCATCTTCCCAAGTCAATTCAAAAAATGTTCCTCAGGGCAGTGTACAACAACAAAAAACAACCTGAGAATTAAAATCACACAGTTGACTACCACAATACATGTAGTCCTCAACTTGCAATCATTTATTTAATGGCTGTTTGAAATTACAACTCACATTGAAAAAGGAGACTTTTGGCCAGTTTTCATACTTAATGACCTTTGCAGCATCCCCATGGTCCTGTGATCAAAACTTGGGCACTTGTCATCTGGCATGTATTACAACAGTTGCACTGTTCTAAGTTCATATGATCGCCATTTGTAACCTTCCCAGCTGGCTTCTGACAAGCTAGATTCATTTAATGACCCCATTATCCACTTAACAACTGCAGTGATTTGCAACAATTGTGGTTAAGAGATTGTAAAATGAGACAAAACACTGTTGCCTTGCTTAAAAGCAAAAATTTCAGGCTCAATCATGGTCCTAAATCAAGGGATATTTGTAGATGGTGGTCACTTGTGAGAGAATTCCACAGCTACTTCAGCAACAGTAAGGCTTCCAAAAGGATTTCAACACATGGACAGATTCCAGAGGGTGATCCTTCAGTTAACCTGACACTTTGGATGGTGTGATGGGCAGCATATAAATTAAATAAATAAATAAAAGTTGTGTATAGGTTTTAAATAGATGTATTTATCTTTTATCATTACAGTGCTCTCAGCCAAGCAAGCCCACAGAGATTTATAACATCAAATATTTAATTATACTGTCCCTTAGAACATATATCTAATACCTTAAAACCATAAAACATTCTAACCATGTAACACAAAACAATAATCTGACATTGAGTTTGCATTTGAAGCGCACACTGGAATTTGACAACAACATTAAAAAGGGCCAGAAAGCAAACAATTGAAAATACATTTTCTGGGTTTTTTGTTTTTTTTAAATGTCACAGAACAGGCAAAGCGGATATTTAGGGAAGGGCTTCCATTATAATATAGTCACCAACTAAAAAGGTCCCAACCTTTGTCAGTTCAAAACAAGCTTCCCTTTAGAGAAGCACTTACAATGGGCTAAAATGCATTTTAGCTTTTGTGCTACTTCTTATGGAAGAAGAAATGTAGACTCAATCTTTTTAAGGACTTAGCTGTAAAAAAAAAAAAGTTAACACAGACAGAGCATTTCTCAGTGGAGACATGCCAAGAAGAGTTTAGTTACCACATTTTGGAACTACTACAATTTTTGAAAGGCATCATATATACAGAATATTGCAAAATAAAAGTAGCTGGTAACTAGCACATGGATCAGAGTAGTTGAATTGGTCTTCTCCAGGAAATTATGTACCCAATAAACAAATAGAGCTAGAAAAAGGTATTTACTACTATGTAGACTTAAGTACTAAAAGGTTAAATCTAAATGCTTATGGCCAACATAGGTCAAACATAATCACCAAACTGTGCACCTGGTTCTTCAAGGGAAGAATTTCCCCATCTGGAAAGGAGGGGAAAATCAGGAAAGATCTCTTCCAGTTGCGCTCGATTCTCCTGTAAACATCAGTTTCAGTCCGTTCTGAGCCAAGCAGGAATCAATCATAGAGCCTAGCACATTAATAGGGATCAGAAGTAAACCTTTATCCTCATAGCAGTGATGCCGAGCCTCACAACTTTGACAGTTATTCCTCAATGTAAATCCTACACTCACTAACACTGATTATGTTACCTAATTGGATGAAATATGTGCAAGCAAATAACCAGTCAGAGAGCACCAAGGAATCCATGGATCATAAGTGACTTTCCCAGAGAGAGGCAGAGTTGGGGGTTGTTATTAGAGAAAATAGGGGTAAGTACAGAAAAGACACATTTCCTAGGTCCCATAAGATGACAAGATTCAAAAGAAGGAACTTGGAGATGCCCTCCCTGTTGGATCAAGTTGTGTGGGCAGAAAAAAGCAGTCCTTCAAGTAACCTGATCTCATAACATGTAAGGTTTTAAAGGTGACACACAGCATCTTGAAACTTATCCAGAAGCCTATTAGAAACCAGTGCAGCTTGCTGGTTTCTGATAGGTAGTAATGGTATTACATAGGCCAGTGATAGCTAACCTTTTCCAGACTGAGTGCCCAAAGTGCCGCACGCGAGCAAATGCACGCGCTCGTGCCTGAACCCCCAAAATGCAGTGTGTGCACACACCCCACACATGCGCCCCTTCCATGCATGCATGCCCCCACAGCCCGCCACATGCACGTGCGACCCCCACACACATCTCACTCCCCGTGTATGCGTGGCAGAGACCTGACAACCAGCTGGCCGGTGAGAGGTGCATGTGTGGCAGAGCTGAACTGGGGCAACGGCTCGCATGCCTACAGAGAGAGTTCTGGGTGCCACCTGTGGCATGTGTGCCATAGGTTCACCATCATGGACATACGCATTATGACATGTGCCCATTAACTACCCATGCCTCTGCATCCTGGACCAAGTAAAACTTCTGGGTTGTCTTCAAGAGCAGCCCCCAAATAAAATACACTGCAACAGACCAACAGGGATGATCTGTAGACCTATAGTGAAAAAACTATGCAAAAAAGAAAAAATTGGTATCTATAATGAAACTCTTAATGATATCATTATTCTGTTTTGATAGTTGTTGTTTAACCCTTTGATTTTTATAAACCTAGAATTTTGTTATCGTATTTGATATTTATCTAAAATATTTGCCATACTAAGTTATGGCTATGGCTTAGATCTAAAGATCCTACTTTATCAAAGATAATTCCACTTGCAAGGGAAATACATTTTATTTTCATTTGAATTCTCCTGTACCCCTGAAACCAACATTTTAATATCCTCCTTGGAAGAGAAAAAAAATTATGGACTTCATTTTTATGGCCAGAGGGCATAAAAATGTGAGCTGAAGTGCAGCAGTCCTTTTAATGCAGGGCATATTCCCAGGCTGTCTTCTGACAAGAAATATTTTCTGAACTGCAGGATCGAAAGCTGACAAAAATGGAACGGCAAAGATTTAAAGAAGAAGCGGAAATGTTGAAAGGTCTTCAGCACCCAAATATTGTTAGGTTTTATGATTTTTGGGAGTCGTGTTTAAAAGGGAAAAAGTGTATTGTGCTGGTAACAGAACTGATGACCTCCGGAACTCTGAAAACGTAAGTACTAGTTATGTCATGATATAGATAATTAGTTAAGTATAGACTTTGTATAGACAAAGTTCTTGCTTACACCCCTAACCCTGTTAAGAATGGAAATCTACCTTCCTTCTTTATAATAGCTTTCCTGACTGTATTTCAAATTAAATCAATTTAATTTCAAAATTAAGTTTCATTTCTGTTATATTCTCTATTGTTTTCTTCTGTTACTACCCACAGTTCTGATTGTATTTTCTCTTCCTTTCTTTGTTTTACTTGGGTCATTTTGAACTTCTTGGTTAATCTTTCCCAAAATAGATAACATTATTAAGCTATAATCAAATAATCTTCCACCAATGAGAAGGAAAACACTTGATTCAAATTAACATACTTGAATTATTAATCTGAATCATCATGTTTTATTAACTTACTGAATTTAATATTACCAATGGCATAATAAACTTTTTTCTCTATGTTTTTTCCACTTCTTGAGGAATTGCTTCAAGTTTCAAATCTGAAGCATTATTGCTGATCATCTGTATGCCGATATACATACAGTATCAGTGCACACGTAGAGTTTTGCATAAACAAGGATCTCCATAGAATTATAACTCACAGCTTTTAGCATATTAGTTTTTAAATGAATTTATAATTTACTTTCCAAACTGTCCTCCTCTTAAATTAGGAATGTATTTGAATGTACTTGGCTGAAGGCTGAATCAGATAAGTCTAATTGCAAGAGGTAGATTGCTTACAAAATGCTCAAACTGACCTGGAAAGTGTCATGAATGTTTCAGGACCTTGTTGTGCTGCAGAAAGGCAGATATTGCCCACAAGTAGAATCTCAATGCATCTGTTTTTCTCTAAAATAATTTTATTCCATCTCACATGTTTTTATTTTAGCTATTTGAAGAGATTTAAAGTGATGAAACCAAAAGTTCTTCGTAGCTGGTGTCGGCAAATCCTAAAAGGTCTTCATTTTCTGCACACTCGAACACCACCAATTATTCATAGAGATTTAAAATGTGACAATATTTTTATAACTGGGCCAACTGGATCTGTGAAGATAGGAGATTTGGGTCTGGCAACTCTTAAGAGAACTTCATTTGCCAAAAGTGTCATAGGTAAGCATGACATGACATGACATAATAACAGAATTGGAAGAAAATTTGGAGGTCTTCTAGTCCAACCCCCTGCTCAAGCAGGAAACCCTATACCAGTGATGGTTAACCTTTTCGGCACCAAGTGCTGAAACTGAAGTGTGCGCATGTGCGTGTGCCGGAGCGCTGGAGCACCAGAACCCAGAAGAGAGCAGCTGGCCACTGTGCATGCGCGTGCCGGAACCTGGAATAGAGCAGCATGCCATCTCTGGCACCCATGCCATAGGTTAGCCATCACGGCCCTGTACCATTTCAGACAAATGGCTGTCCCGTCTCTTCTTAAAAACCTCCATATATCATTTACATCACCTCTCCTTATTGAAAACGGATGAATTATAGTATAGACTCACAAAACAATCAACCCATATTTGGTTTTCACTGGCAATGCTAAATCCTTGTCTCATACATTCTTCCAAAATTAGTAAAATTTCAACAATGTTATTTTTTCGTAATCTGTAATTGTATGATGTATTGACTATTATACACATATGAACATGAATTATAATTTAGTTTTGTTTAGAAGTTTATGCTTACATTAGATGTAATGTATAAATAAATAAACTTAGTTAGCAAGCAGTACTATCTTATATCAAATAAAATCAAGATGGAATTATTTTAATTCCATTGAGAGTGGAGACAGCAGCCAGCGTGGGTAGTGCCCATCCAATCAGCTTGAAGGACTGAGTCTGCCAATTATTCCTAGTCCCGCCCTTGTTGCCGGGCAGACCAGCTTTTGACTCAGTCCTTCAGCGCTGGCTGGTGTGTGGGACTTCTCTCTAGTTTAAACTCCTTTTCGTCTCTTTAGTGTGGTTTTCTCTCGGATTTTTTTGACTAGGACTGTTTGACTGTGCTTTAGTATTCTGATTTGGACATTGATTGCTTTCTCCGGCTGACTTGGACCGTCCTGACGTCGAATTTGTGAGTTGCCATAGACCTCCGTTAACGCCGGTCTCCCTAGCTTGCCAGGGGCGTGGGGATTCCTTGCCCTCGTTTCTACCAAGGGAGGGCCTTTGGTCGTGAGATCTTCGAGGGACATTCTTCCCTGCAGTTTTTTTCCACTCTCCCTCTCAGTTTGGCCGCCCTCGCCCTCTTCTCTCTCGGCAGTTTTGGGCGGGCGTTCTAGCGGCCGCCATTTTGGACGCTGATTTCCCGCCGTTGGGGAGAGCGATTTACAGCGGCCTGCAATTTCGCTAGTAATTCGGCCGGCTGAGGCATTTCCATCCAAAACGCCTCTCTTGCGGCCGCTCTCTAATTGAATTGAAGCGTGGCGGGCTGAGCGGTTCTCCTGAGGAGCTTCGCGCCCCCGCCCTGCTCTACTGTGGCCTGCAGCTGCGGCCTCTTTTAAAGCGCCTCATTCTAGATCTAACGCTAGCGGCTTGCTGGCCGCAGAGGAGCTTCGCGCCCCCCCCCCTCCCTCCTTCAACGCTGCAAGATCCGAGACAGGAGGAATTGCTACTGTGCCAGTGGGGCTTCACGCCCCCTCCCTCTGTTGAAGCTATTTGGTCTGGCCTCTGTCTATCATTAATGTCAGTGGAGCTTCGCGCCCCCACACTTGTTCTCGCTTTACAACGGTCACATGACTGTGACCTAGTCTGCCTTACTGTTTGTTTGTTTAATTGATTGCCTCCCCCCTCAGCACGTGCAAAAAAGCCTTCTCACCACGCCTTTTCAGTTTGAGGAGTTGGTACGCTCCCTTCTTAATTGGTTTGGCCTTTAGTTTATAATTATTCTGTTACAGTCTATTCAAAGCTACCTCACGTGGAGTTTCTCTCGCTCCCCCTTATCTCATCTGAGTCCGTCCATTGAGGCCCAGTCTAGTGTGTGAGGCTTTTATATTTATCTTGGCACCATGCCTAAGGCCCTTGCAAAGTCTAAGCACGGCCGGAAGGCCAGTGCACGTGAAGTTGGCCAATCAGACTCCATGTCTGTTACCCAGCAATCTGTCATGGAAGATTCCAGGTCTCGTTCCAGGTCTTCTCAACCCTCACGTTCTCATCACAAATCTTCCTCTCGGGACTTGGCATCCTCCTCTTCCAAAGCGGAGAAACGTAGAGACAAAGTTTTGACCAGATTATGCGATAAGGCAAGCGCTCAATTAGCTCCCTCCACTCCTCAACCACCTGACCCTTCTGTTTCTTCCCCGGCCGCTGTGCACCACTCACCTACTCCTGATCAGCTATCGTTGCAGGATTGTCCAGTAACCATCTCCGACGACAATTTGTGGGGTCCTGGCTCAGTTTCTCATCAATTGGCCCCTGATCCAGCACCAGTACAGGTGGATCCTCCTTCTGATCCTGTACCGACCCGCTCTTTGGACTCTATCGTGCCTCCAGATCAACTTCAGCAAATGATCGAGTTGGCGGTTCAAAGGTCTTTGGCCGTCCGTCCGGGTTACTCTAGTCGACATGGATCGGTGAGAGAGGTTTCTCCTTATTCAGCGGGCCGCAACGATGAAGGATGCTCTCATTCAGTTCGATCCGCCTCCCCTACTTCTTCTCACTACAGTCATCCTTCTGCCTTAATTGATGAGGAAGCTCCTGATTCTGACCTATCGGAGGATGAGAACCTTCCCCCTGACCAGCCGGCTTTCACAGGTCTCTTTCCTCAAGCCTTATTCAAATCATTACTCTTCAAAGCTGTTAATACGGCCCGTTTATCCTCTCCAAATGCTGATCCGGCTCCACCTTCATCTTCCTCGGGATCTTTGGACCCAATGTTTGCAGAACCAGCTAGACCCATAACATCCGTTCCTACACCTCCCCTCTTTCTGGATGTGGTGAAACGACAGTGGGAGTCCCCTGCCTCTGCTCCCCTCCCTTCCTCAAATGACAAAAGGAACTTTCAGGTATCCTCGGATCTGGAGGCTCTTCTTCAACTTCCTTCTGTGGATGCTCCATCGCAGCTCTTCTTCCTAACTCTAATGTTCCGGGCGATCCTGATGAGAGTCTTCGGCCTGATGAACGCAGATCAGATCAGGTTCTTCAAAAGGCCTTTCAGAGTTCTTCCTGGCGATTAAAGCAACCACTACGGCTTCCTTCTTCAATCGAACAACTTTGCTCTGGTTACGTCAGTTGCAAGAAAAGCTAACCCCCGGAGATGCTCGTATCAGACAAGACCTGAATAAGATTGTGGCTGCCGTCCAATTTTCAGCCGACTCTACTCTAAATGCTGCGAAGTTCTCTGCAAAGTCCTTGGCTTTGGCGGTCACAGCTCGTCGTTTACTGTATCTCCGTCACTGGCAGGCGGATGCCAGGCACAAGTGGCGATTGGCTTCAGTTCCCTTCAAGGGCACGAAGCTTTTCGGGGACGCTTTAGATCCTTTCCTCACAGAAACCAGGGACAAAAAGAAGGTGTTAGCAGCTGTTTTCCGGAGAGGACCGCCCCGTTTCTCGCCTTACCCTCCTCGTTCCTTTTCCCGAGGTGCGGATGGGGGATCTTCCTCCTTTTCTTCCTTTCCCTCATTCAGGAGAGATGGGTCTTTCAGCAGACAGCGGGGTTCTTCTGATAGGTCATTCAGAGGGCGTCCCTTTAACCTCAGACGGCCCTTTCGAGGGGGAGGAGGTCGTTTCGCCCGCCGCCGTCGCTGATTGCCCCTTCGACCCTCCCATTGGCGGTAGATTGGGTCTCTTTGCTGCTGTTTGGGAGGAATCCACCTCGGACAAGTGGGTCCACGCCACATTAAAATCTGGGTTGGCCATTGAATTCGTTGCCCCCCCTCCTCGCTCCTTTGTCTGCTGTCCGCTTTCTCGTAATCCCGTTAGGAGGTCCCTTATGGATTCATCGGTTCAGCACCTCCTGGCTATCAGGGCAATTCAACCTGTGCCTCCCGGTCAGGAGGGTTTGGGATTCTACTCGAGAGTGTTTCTTGTTCCTAAGTCTTCGGGGGGGTGGCGTCCTATCCTGGACCTCAAACGTTTAAATAGATATGTTGTGTACCGAAGGTTTAAAATGCAATCATTGAAGTCTATTCTCGACGGTGTTCGGCGAGGCGATCTCCTCTCTTCTATTGACCTTACTGAGGCCTACCTTCATATTCCTATCCTCCCGTCTCATAGACGGTTTTTGAGGTTTTGTTATAACGGAGCTCACTACCAGTATAGGGCCCTCCCATTTGGCCTTTCTTCTGCCCCTCGCACCTTTACGAAGGTGCTGGCTGCTTTGGCGGCTCGGCTCCGACTTCGTTCAGTCCGCCTCTTGTGTTATTTAGATGATATCCTGCTATTGTCCCCTTCTTTGCATCAGGCTACCGTAGATATTCGCCTGACGGTTGAGACGCTAGCAGCTCACGGCTTCTCCGTGAATTTGGAGAAGAGTCATCTCTTCCCCTCCACTAGATTAGTTCACTTGGGTGCCCTTATTGACACTCTCCAAGGCAAAGTCTTTCTTTCTCCCGATAGGCAGACTAGTCTGAGAAGGTTAGTTTCCCAGGTTGAAGGGAGTCGGGTTGTTTCCCCCTATGTCCTGTCTCAGCTCTTAGGTAAGATGATATCTGCGATAGCTATTGTTCCCTGGGCTCAGCTTCATGCCAGGGAACTCCAATGGTTTCTCTTGCCCTTACAGAAGGCTGGCAGAGGCACCTCACTGAAGCCGATCCCTCTCCCTCCCGCGGTACGAAGATCCCTCCGGTGGTGGCACTCCCCCGCTCTCTCGGCGGGGTGCTTCTTCCTCGAACCCTCCAGGGTAGTGGTGACGACAGATGCCAGTCTCCTGGGCTGGGGAGCTCATTGCCAAGGTCATCTGGCTCAAGGGACTTGGACACCCTCGGAAGCTCGGCATCCCATCAATTGGCTGGAACTGAAGGCTGTCCTTCTTGCTCTAAAGTCATTCCGCCACCTGGTCTCCGGAGCCCACGTCCTTGTCCTCACGGACAACGTCGCCGCAAAGGCTCATTTAAACAAACTGGGAGGCACCAGATCGAAGTCTCTTCTGACCCTGGCTGTCGCGTTGGGCATCTGGGCGGAGCACCACCTGTGTTCCCTGCGGGCGGAGCACATCTCCGGGGTAGAGAATGTTCAAGCGGACTGGTTGAGTCGCCGGCGGATAGACAATGCGGAATGGCGTCTCCTCCCGCTCCTTTTCCAGGAACTGTCTCTTCGCTTCGGCCGTCCTGTGATCGACCTGTTCGCGACTCACGAGAACTCTCAACTTCCGCTGTTCTTCTCCCGATACCCTCATCCTCGAGCGGCCGGCGTCGACGCCCTTCGGACTCCTTGGCCGTCGGGCCTTCTCTACGCTTTTCCCCCGACGGCCCTCCTTCCCAGGGTCATCCGCAAGATTATCTCCGAGAGAGCGGAAGTGATACTTGTGGCTCCGCATTGGCCTCGGAGACCTTGGTTTGCGGACCTCGTGTCCCTATCGGTGACCCCATCGTGGCGCATTCCTCTCTCGGACAACATCCTCTCACAGGGCGCCCTACAGCACCCAGACCCGGCCTGGCTCAATCTAACCGCCTGGAGATTGAGCGGTGCTCTTTGAGGGAGGTCCAGGTTCCAGCAGACGTTGTGCATACCTTACTATCATCCCGACGTCCTTCTACGGAACGCATCTACTCTGCCACCTGGCGGAGTTTCTACACCTGGTGTAACCAAGTTGGTGTCATTCCTCTCCAACCGTCTATTATCCATATTCTGATGTTTTTGCAGAAGGGCCTTTCCCAGGGTCTCTCTCCTAACACTCTCCGCCGGCACGTTGCAGCCTTATCTTCAGTACTTTCCTGTGGCTCATTGTCTTCTCTAGCCCAACACCCTTTGATCCGCCGTTTCCTTCGGGGAGCTAAGAACTTGTGTCCTCCTGCTCTGCATCGATACCCTACCTGGGACCTTCCTCTCGTCTTACAGTCTCTTACGGGCCCTCCATACGAGCCGCTTCGAACTACCAGTCTCAGACTTCTCACCTGCAAGGTTGCCTTCTTGGTGGCCATTACTTCGGCTCGTCGCATTTCTGAACTCGCCGCCTTGTCCACCCGTCCGGACCTTTGTGTTTTCCATGCAGACCGAGTGATACTCCGTTTGGATCCGACATTCGTGCCAAAGATTAACTCGGTTTTTCACCGGGCCCAGGAACTTGTCCTGCCTAATTTCTGTCCCTGGCCTTCTCACCCTCGGGAACGTCGTTGGCATGCCCTTGATGTCCGGCGGGCACTGCGGATCTACCTGAAGAGGACGGCCCCTTTCCGTCGCTCGGAGTCGCTCTTTGTCTCCTTCTTACCTACCTCTCAAGGCAGTAAGGTCTCGTCTTCAACCATTGGTCGATGGATTCGCCAGACTATTGCCACGGCCTATGATGTCAGAGCCCTTCCTCGTCCTTCAGGATTGACAGCTCACTCCACCCGCAGCGCAGCTACGACAGCAGCTTGGGCAACGCAGGCGACTTTGCTGGAGATTTGTAGGGCGGCCACGTGGACTTCCCTGGTCCTTTCATCCGACACTACAAACTCGACCAGTTTGCATCAGCCGAAGCGTCATTTGGTCGCCGAGTTCTGCAGAGAGTGATTGCCGGAGAGGATAATGTGGTCCAGCGTGATCCCCCCCTAACATCGGGACAGTGAACTTGGGTATGTCCCACGCTGGCTGCTGTCTCCACTCTCAATGGAGAAGGATCGTTGGTTCTTACCTGATACGTTCCTTCTCGTTGAGTGGAGACAGCAGCCAGACCCTCCCCTTTTTTCTTCTTCGTGCTGGACTTGTCATGCTTTCTGTCTTTTCGGCCTTTGGCTTTCCTTTTGTCCCACACACCGAGTCTGTCTTCCAGTCTTCGCCAAAAGCTGGTCTGCCCGGCAACAAGGGCGGGACTAGGAATAATTGGCAGACTCAGTCCTTCAAGCTGATTGGATGGGCACTACCCACGCTGGCTGCTGTCTAGTACTATCTTATATCAAATAAAATCAAGATGGAATTATTTTAATTCCCCCCCATGAGTTCCTCTTTCTCAAGATCATGTATCACATGATCAAGATCATATTCCCCCCCACTTCCCCTAGGAGTGCACTGCTCTCTTTTCTTTACCAAGGCAAAGTCTACATTCATATCATCTTGAATTCTGACTTCCAATTTTCTTATGGAAATCTATAGCTCAGGGATTTGCCACGAAGCATAAATAGAAGTAGGGCATCTGTTGACAAGAGGCTGTTAACTTTCAAACTTACATTAAAAGTATATAACATATAATACTTTGGCATTATTATATTAGATCAAACAAGGTATTAAGTGAAATCAACTTCACAGGATATTTGATGAACTTGTCAAATTCCAGATATTTTTTCAAAAAACATGGAGATCCCTATGTTATTGTGGAAAATTATTAGAAAATAATTGTCTAGGACCTGAAAATACCTTGAATTCTTAGTCTAGTTGTTTATTGGGATTCAAAGTATTATTTGAATTAATATTGCCTGGGGGGCACAAGATTGTGGAAAACTGTCTTTCTGTGAGTTGAGCATTTCTGCATATAGAATGATACTTTCGGGTTCAACCCAAAATTCCATCTAACTATCTGTTTTACTAATTTCAATTTAAAATATAGAAGTTTCTTTTGAGTTTCATATTCATGCATAGAATGTTGTCCTTTAAATGTTCTTTTCTCTAGTTGATGTTCTATATATACAAATATGTTTTCTAAGATCGATTCCTTTCATTCTGTTCAGGTACTCCAGAATTTATGGCCCCAGAAATGTATGAAGAACACTATGATGAATCAGTGGATGTATATGCTTTTGGAATGTGTATGTTGGAAATGGCTACCTCAGAATATCCATATTCAGAATGCCAGAATGCTGCTCAAATTTATAGGAAAGTAACCTCTGTAAGTGATATTTTTAGTATAATCATTTTGCTCTTTCATTTACACTGTTTTTCCTTATTTTAACATTGTAAGCATTGATGTACTATTATATAACATACTATATAATTTTAATAAAAGTATTGTTGAAATAATTCTTAAATTCTCAACATCATGATTATGTTGAATACTTCATTCTCTTATTTAGGTCTTACATTTTCTGGCAAGAAGAAATGATTTCTTTTTAAGACTAGGGTTGAGGTAATTCTGCATATCCTCTCCTTTCTCATACCCATCCCAGCCACTCTCTTCAAAACGGCATCAGAAATGCCGTTAGAAATGGCATCAGTGTTTTTCAGATTTGCTCAGTTTCCCATTTTACTAATGACATGTTTTGTTACTTGTTTCAGTGTTAATTTATAAAAAAATCTACATGCAGATTGTTTCTGCTTCTTTAATATTTATTTTTCTCTATTTTTAAATTTCCAAACTGCATAATAACATTTTTAATAGTGAAGAATGTGGCACTTTATCAAATACAAACGGATTATATAATATATTTGGGGGAAACCATCTATGCTGCAGAACAAATTCTGTCCTCCAGGCACCAATTTTATTTCTTGAGAATATAGAACTCTGGCATTTCCAAAAAATAAGGTGACACCCAGGGATATACCCAATATGATATAAAGATAGAGCAATTCCTTTTTAGTTTGTCATTAGAAGATTGTGCACATGTATGATTTGTATCTATTTTATATACAGTTTCTTGTACTTTTGGAAGCTTGCTTGCACGGTATACTTACAATAGATAATGCATATGTTCATATGAATTTATTTTTATAATACCTTTATTGTTTTTATAAATAAGGTACAAGCATACCTAATGCTCCCTTCTATTTACCCCACAACAACAATCCTGTGAGGTGAGTTGGGCTGAGAGAGAAAGAGAGAGAGAGAGAGAGAGACTATGCTTAAGGCAGGACTAGAACTCACAGTCTCCTGGTTTCTAGCCTGGCACCTTAATCACTAGATCAAACTGGCTCTATGCATTTGTATGAATGTTTGTCAATTCGCTTTTGCCTATAATATCACTTAGAGCTCTGTGCATTATTCTGGTTTCACATAACATTGTCCCATCTATCTTCTTTTGTTCAGCTTCAGTTGTCACTAAACATCTTTGATATTGATCTGACATGTGAACTCAGGGGGCTGACTTTGTTCTTTTATCTTGGTGTATTCTTGATATTAAACTGTATGAGTTGTATTCAGGCTACATTATTTTATGCTCAAATCAGTGATGCCTCATGAAATCAGAATTGATTTTGCCACTGATTTGAGTGGAACAAAACTTATTTGGGATCTACTCTATTATATTAAATACGAATATTTAGTATTAGAGTGGTGGAGAGAATTCATCTAGATTATTCTGCAAAGATTCCTGCAAATACTATGTGCTTCTGTATATGTACACAGATCTTTTTACTTTGTTTTCAGGGGGAAAAGGAAATATTGGAACTAAACTGTACTGTCAGGTTTAAGATCAAACATGAATTGTGGAACCTGTCTATTTTTCAGTTGGTGGAAAACTGAAACTTATGTGAACACAGATTCATACACTATTTAAAGTACAGGCTCTTACAGCTCAATTCTTTGTTTTGATATGTGCCAAGATTACATTTGTCACAGATTGCATATTTATTGTGTCATTTGTTTTTGGATGTTGACATAGCAAAGTGCATGAGAAAGCTTCTTTCAGAGACTAGTTGGGACAAAAAAATTGTGTCAGTGGAAGGGGTTAAGAACTTCTAAACTTTGTAATATATAATTATAGCTAATTATTGCTTTTCCATTTAGAAAAGGACATCAAGAGACCATCATAGGTATCTTTCCACAAACACTTAATTAGATCCTTTACCTTACCTACATCTGAAATAGAGTGATAATATTTGTTTGTCATGCCAATCTAATATAAGGATTACCAAAGAAATGGATTACTATTCCATTCAGACAGAAACCCATTCAGTAGAGTTCACAGAGGGAATAAAAAAAATGTCAAGATATGTCTAAAATAGGCACAAGACTTTGAGGCTGGCATTTATACTTTTTTTAGAGACCCTTCCCCTTTCCCCCAAGATGCTGTTATTTATTTGCAGCAGCAGAATGTTCAGAATCCTCTTCCCTCTAAAGTGCAGCCACAATGTCAACATTGCTTTGCAAATTTGAGGGACTTTGTCGAGGAGATTATGGAGCAAGCTACAGAGAAAAAGTCTTGTTTTGTATGTCCCTTACGAAAAAATTGGCTGTTGTCCTTATATTGTAGGAAGAATGCACCACGAACATTCCAATTATTCTATTTCTCTTTCAACAAAGCCTTTGTCTCTAGTTGGTACATTCTGTTAATATTTTTTTTGTTATGTTTGTGCCTGATTCTTATTTAATATCCTTCGTAAATAGCCTAGAATGGAACTCTTTCATTAAATGATTAAATGTCCAGGAAACAAATAAGCTTTCCAAGTTTAAAATAACTATTTTATGCCTGTCCTTGCATGCACTAAACTCTTAATCCTAAATTCACTTGTTTTTTGGGGAAAGTACTGTTATTTTATAAAGTCATCGTGATATGGTTCATATTTTTTAAAGTCATCATGTGATATGGTACATACTTTATAAAGTCATCATGTGATATGGTACATATTTCCCAAGTTTGATTATCAGAACTGTTCATGCAGGTATAAGCTTTGCTTTCCTGCAAGGTTAGTGCGGAAAAACACAAAGCCCCAGCTGACGAATCATGTTACATAAGCACAGTTTGCATCAACTATTTTGTAAGATACTGTGTTAAATGCTTAATATGTACAAAGATTAATTTATATCATTCATATGTATTACTATACTTACTTTAAAAAGTTAATCAAGGACAGACTAAGAAGATTGGTATAGAGAGTTCAAAATGATGAAGTTTTCTGGGAGAATTTAACCCGACTAATCAAAAAGAATTTATGTTTTATCCAATTGATTAATTAAATTATAAATTAGTCATAAATTAATGGATTTTATTGTTGGCTGTTCACCGCCCTGAGTCCTTCGGGAGTAGGGCGGTATAGAAATCAAATTAAATCAATCAATCAATCAATCAATCAATTCCTATGCCTCCTAAAGCTCAATATAAGAGCCATATAAACCAGGAGACTATGTGTTCTACTCCCACCATGGATACAAAGTCAGCTGGGTGACCCTGGGCCAGTCACTCTTCTCAGTCCTAGAAAAGCGACAATGCCAAAGTACTTCTGAAAAACCTTGCCAAGAAAACTGCAAGGACTTATTCAGGCAGTTTCTGAGAATCGAACACAATTGAACAGAATTAAATAAAAAAGCTTGATATAGGTATCCTATTTTTTGGATTTTTATTTTTAAAATATACATCAATATCAATACATTATATAGGTGTCTTATTGAGGGGATTAAGAAATTATAACCTACTGAGCAAAAAGTAAATATTTTTCTCTCCTATTATAGCAATGGATAGGACTCAAAACATCCTCCAGAACTGTGACCTTAATTGTCATTTTAGTGATCTCCTATTATATCTAATTGGCCAACTGATTGTTTAATTTTTTTATGACATTTGCTCAAATGTAGTGTCTGTTGTACTGCCAGAAATACATCAGTGGAAGAAACCCTAAAGAACCAAACGGTAATCTCTACCATCTAACTTCTCTAGATGGCTTTATTGGTTTGTCTAAAACAAGTACAACTTCCCACAGTTATTTGTGTAGCATGGATGACCTTTTGCTGCTTAACACGCCATTAAATGAATAATTTGTACAATTCTTTTCCATTGGTCCTCAGGTTAAAATGGTGCCATAATTTTATAGATTTTTTTTTTAAATCAAGATGCATTTTAACCTGGCTGAAAGCATAATGAATTGTTCCTCTTTGGTAAAATTATAATATATATAAATATATATAAAACCTAAAATGGTGCAAGGCAGAGATAATCTTTTTGGCAACTATTTCAGTCTTCATGCTTTTCCTGCAATTTGTTTCCATGCCTCAATCACTCATACCTAAGGACATTTTGTGTCACATATAGACGAGAAAATCTTATGAATAGATGGCACCAATTCAAATAATGCATCAAATAGACCTTGAATAGCAATCACCTCCATGCCTGCTTTGGATAGATGGCCTCAGACTTGCTGCCTGAAAGTGAATGAGACCTCTTTCAATTCTAAATGCCAATCTCTTCAAGAGGCATTATTTTATTTTTATTTACAGCATTTATGAGGCAGTGTTGTCTACAGGATGAAGTGTTTAAAATACATGTCAATAATCCTTTTTGATAGTTAAAATAAGACCCAAACTTAAGTACTATTAAAAGTACTATTAATTACAAGACATGAAAACTTAATTTGTAGATTAAAAAATAAAGTTTAAGAGTCTTAAGGGATCCAAATAATCCTTTTTGGACCTCATCTCTCAATCTTAGAGATGGATCCATTAACCCGTTAGTATTGCGTTGTAAGATACTAAGAAATACCTGGACTATGGACTAGATCAGGTTAATTAGGAAAATGTTCCAGAAGGTACGCATTTGCATATTACAGTCATGAAAATTATATGAAAAAATCCATAGATTCACCTAGAGTTGAGCTCCAGTGAAAGGATCAAAATGGATGCCTTAAGCCTATGCCAGACATAAGGTATTCACTTCCTTTCTTAAAATATCCCAACAACATAAAAAGGGATAAAAAATAATTATACCTATTAAAACTATTCCAGAGAAATGTTTAGAAATAGAATAAAGCTTTCTATTTCAATTTCTTTACCTCACTAAAAAAAGCTTCTTTTTCCATATTCAATTTACATAAACTGTTGCCTTAAATATCTTATTTCTTTTTAGGATTTTCAATTTGATATTGAGAATCCTTAAAGCTCACATCTTGTAACTGTCAGCAGGTGAAAATCTTTTTATAAGACATTCAAAAACTTCAATTAGAGGTCTACTCTGAAAAGAAAACTTGGTCACCTTACAGAGTTACTGTTTCCTTTTTTGTAGAATAGAAATTGTAAGGATTACCTTTAAATTTGGGGCAAAACCATAAGAGACACTAATTATTTTACAATATCTATTCCTTATTTTAAAGCGGACTGTATACTGGAACAGTATCAAAATATTATAAAAATCTATTAGTTAATTAGGAAAGGTGCTCTGAATCCTGGAAAGTTGAAGTATAATTAAAATAAACAAGTAGTTAACTAATAATTTGTTTAAACAAAACTTAGAAAAAAGAACATCCCTTGATGTTGATCTTTCTGGAACAGAATCCCAGATAGTTCAGGATAGTTCAGTTTTCGCCTCCCAAGGCCCTTAATATTAAAATTTGTAATAAAAGTTAATGCTGACTTTAGCTTCATTATAGCATATATAATGGTCTATTGTATATTAGATTACATAAAAGTCCTAATTTAAACTCAAAGCTGTATAAATCTAGAATGAAAATGCCAGAGAAACTTAATTATGTTTTTTTCCCTCACACAGGGTGTCAAACCAGCAAGTTTTGATAAAGTTACTGATCCTGAAATTAAGGAGATAATTGGAGAGTGTATTTGCAAAAATAAAGAAGAGAGGTTTGTTTCAAATAGTAAATTTCTGTTGTTTGTGAAACAGGTCATAATCCTGAGCACATTTCAAAGTAATTTCTTGGGGTGGAGGCAGAAAACTGACAACAGCTGGCCAGTACTGTTTTAAACTGATAGACCTATTCTAATCTAATCAGGTAGATCTCTTAGGATAGCTACTAGCTAGATAGAAACTAACATGGTTACTATGGGGAGATGAATTGGTACCCATTTGGAATCTGGTTAGTGTGACTATAGTCCTGTGAATTTTGAGGACTTCTCAACAAATGTTGATTTTCAGTCAGAATGTTTTTCTGGACTGTATATCTATAAACAGAGCAGTATGAGACTTTCTTCAAGTATTCATTTTATATTTTTATTCTTATTTATAACATTTATACAGCGCCCATCTCACCTGAAATCTGGTTAGATTTACAAATAAAAACCATATAGCCATATAAAAAGAGACATAGTTAGAAATGCTTAACGCATTGTAAGCCGCCCTGAGTCTCCGGAGAAGGGCGGCATATAAATCAAATTAAAAAATAATAATTAAAAAACAGAATTAAAATAAAGATTAAAAGGTTGAAAAAAAAGGCAAGAGGGCATCCTCAAGCCACCAGCCATCTCCATGGTTGCATACCACTCTTGGATTCCCATGCCAGTTGGCAGAACCAGATCTTGACACCCTTCCAGAAGGCCAGAAGGATGGCACTTTACCTTACTTCTGGGGGCAAGATGTTCCATAGGGCAGAGGCAACAGTAAAGAAGACTCTCATCCTAGACCCTGCCAGTCAAAATTCTTTAATCAATGGCTTCTGCAACAAACTCTCTCTGCCTGCCTGGGTGGGACAGGTCAATGTTATTGGGGCAGGATGGTTCTTCAGATAATCAGGTCCACACTATGAAGGACTTTAAAAGTTTTTAAAAGACTTTAAAAATCAACACCTTGAATTTGACCAGAAAATAAACTGGCATCCAATGCAGCTCACATAGTAGAGGTGTTACATGTGCAACCCTAGGGGTGCCCAAAACTGCCCATACTACTGCATCAATTACAGCTTCTAGATACTCTTCAAGGGTGGCACATTGTACAGCACAGTACAGTAATCCATACAGAAGGTGACTAAACCATGAGTGATCAAAAGAAAGGCTTCTCAATCCAGGTAAATTCCAGAAAATGGTATGTGGAGATTTATATTTGACAAGTAGCTATTGGATGCAGTATCCCACAAGACTTTGTCTTAATCCTTCTACAGGTTTTAAACCTTACATTTATATATTTAATTAAACATAATTAAAGAGCCATGGTGGCGCAGTGGTTAGAGTGCAGTACTGCAAGCTACTGCTGATCACCAGCTGCCAGCAGTTTGGCAGATCAAATCTCACCAGGCTTAAGGTTGACTCAGCCTTCCATCCTTCTGAAGTTGGTAAAATGAGGAGCCAGATTGTTGGGGCCAATATGTTGACTCTGTAAACCGCTTAGAGAGGGCTGTAAAAGCACTATGAAGCGGTATATAAGTCTAAGTGCTATTGCTATAATGGAAAAAGAAAAAATATGAAAAAGAAAAAATCCACAAAATTATATATATGTGGGTTTTCTTTCAAAGTTTTACACAACAGATTCAATAAAAGAAGCTTCATCACAGAGGCAGATCATTCAGACAGTTGAAATTGATACCATCATTATGTTGGTGATATCCAGCTTCATTCTTTTCCATCAGATTTCAGAGATGTAGGAGGAATCCTAAATCAATATTTAGGATTTGTAAAAGATTAAATGAAGACTAACAAGTGAAAGCTGAGACTGTATTGACTAAGGGATTGCCTAGTCAAATAAAAATATTGCATTACTGCCAGATTTGTACAGAGTGTAACATTTTAATAGTTGGTCTGACAGCTTTAAAGTTCTTGATTTGACTTTCACCTAAATGTTAGGTAATAGTTGCAGCTAGGAGAACATCATCCCGCTGCACATACTCCTAGAGAAAGCAGATCAGCCAGCAGAGGTGCACGGTTTAGTTATTTTTCATTTGGATTCTAGAAAGATTTACATAGGATTCATCTTTTTAAAAAAACACTACAAACTACATATAACTGGTTTTTTGCTTGTTTTAATCGGTTAGTTTTCTGGGTAATCTGGTTTTTTAATACATTTACTACCCATTCCTGCTGTCAGGACTAGTTATGTTGGCTGCATTCAGGCTTCCTTAATGAAGTTCATATGCAGTACCGCATCTGAATTATGCAGATTGTTGGCTCATCATGAATGAACCTTATGCTAATATAAACAGATCCTATACCAACATTGATTACTAGATGGTTAACATGCAAGGAATGCTATGCTAAAAGATAGCTTCAGAATAGTTTATCTATGCCCATTGATGGGTAGAACCAATAAAAAAGAAATGTATGGCACATATAAGTATACTAAGGAGAAAAAATGGTGAGGGGGAAAGTATCTAAAAAATATAAATTGGGTCTGATATGTTTCAGATAAATACCTTTTTCAAGAACATTGTACAAAACAAACACAGAAACTTGAAAAGGTATAGTAAGTATTTTAACTCTGTTAGCCACAAATGGCAAATGGGCAGCCATTGAAATTGAAATAAAAAACTAATAAATAAATGGTGTGATGTTTATTATACCACACATTTGGCAGTCACTGTAGAAACACTTGCTATTGTGCTACTGGGGTTTAAAAACCTTTGTGTTAAATATTATAGATATTGAAAGTAAATTTTGAGTTCTTTCATTAAATTTAGAAAGACATATAGTGCCGAGGAAGTTCTAATACATATATTCTAATACATATATATGTGTATTATCAACAGTAATACTAAAATAATACACAGCTAATTGGTCCTTAAAGAATAGAGGAGAAAAATGGACTTAACATTTACTGTTGTGTTCTTTTTTTCCCAGATATGAAATTAAAGATTTATTAAGCCATGCCTTCTTTGCTGAGGATACTGGGGTGAGAGTGGAACTTGCAGAAGAAGACGATGGTAGGAAATCCTCTATTGCCTTAAGACTCTGGGTAGAAGATGCTAAGAAATTGAAAGGGAAGTCCAAAGATAATGGAGCCATTGAGTTTACTTTTGAACTGGAGAAAGAAACTCCTGATGATGTTGCACAAGAAATGGTAAAATAAATTTCCCTTGACACTCTCTTTTTCCTTTCTGTTTTCCTCTCTCTCTCTCTCTCCATGTGTGTATGTATGTAACATAAATCTCAAATGACATCAGAGGCAAACCTGGAAAAGTAAATTTGACTCAAAAGATACAACACAAACTATCTTCCAAAGCCATAAATGGATCCACAGAGTACAATAGTACAATAATTTAAGTACAGAATCCTGGTTATATATAATTTTATATTGAATTTCCACAACAGCAAAATGCATTCTTTCAGAAACTGATTAAACTTTTGATTGGCACTTGTTAAATTGCATAGCTTGAAGTTTGCAAATTATGTTTCCAATATATGTAAGAATCTGGAGTAGAATTTGAACCATTTTTCTTTCTTGGTGCAGTAAGATAAGTTATATATCATATATCTGCGGCCTGGTTGTAATCTCCTGATGGCTGCGGCCAACGGGTTGGGTACCCCTGCTTTACAGAACTTTCTGGGCAGTTTACAATGTCAGCCTATTGCCCCCAACAATCTGGGTCCTCATTTTACTGACCTCAGAAGGATGGAAGGCTGAGTCAATCTTGAGCTGGTCAGGATCAAACTCCAGGCTGTGGGCAGAATTAGCTTGCAATATAGTATTGCATTGCAATCACTATGCCAGGGTATTTGGACATAACTGCCTATCATTTTGAAAAACTGAATTTACATGCTTGAAATATAATATAGGAGTTTCTTTCTGAGGAATTGCTTTTCTCAAATTGCATTGCAAATGGGAAATTTTTTATTTGGTTTATTCATGAAGCAGAAAATGAGATGTGATTTTGATGCCAACTATGACTGGTTTAATTATTCCTAAAAATGCCCCCCTCCCTTTCACCATCTGTTACATTTGGACTAAAAAATCCCCACTTACTTTATGTAAAGTTCTAGGAATTTAAATTATAACAGTTCCAATAGTGATATAGACAATACCTATTCATAGCCAATGGTGACTAATAAAAATATTTATGACAATTGATCATAGTTTTGCAATTGCTTCTCTGCTTTATAAAAAAAATGTTTCAGATACAACTTGTATTCTTTTTGAAAATAATTTTATCAATGAAAACCTTGGAGCTCTAGCTACTATATTTAATTCTAAACAATACTTCTGCAAACTAATCAGCCACACATATACAAAACCTCAGACTGGTGATTTAGAATCAGTAACTCTCTACTCAGTTACTAAAAGTAGATATGGAGTGGGCGTGTGGGACACTAAGATGTGAAAACACAGCCAAAATATGGATTTGTTCTTGAAAATCTTATATTTCAGGTTGATGCCGGATTCTTTCATGAAAGTGATGTCAAAATAATTGCAAAATCAATACGAGACAGAGTAGCCTTAATACAGTGGAGAAGAGAGAGGATATGGCCCAGGTTGCATTCAGAAGATCATCGGGAGCCAGAAAGCTTAGAAAAAACGAAGGCCACACAAGCACAACCACTTCAGATTACACACCTTTCTCATGCTGGTCATCAGATTCCATCAGAACCAGACGAGCCTGAAGTGGACCAGCATCTTTCTCAACAAAATCTGCCCACAAGCATCACTTCACTTGCATGTAAGTCTAGTATATATTCTGTGTTGGTATATAAGGATATAGCACAAATATGGTGACGCTTAAAAAAAGACGATCAACCATTTTCTGACATGTTAATATAGCCAACTCTTTAAACTATATTGAATTTTCCTTCTAAAACAAGCTAATTATGCTCACTGTCATACACAGAACTACTCACTGTGTATGGAAAGTGTGCCAACATGTATTTTGACTGAGAAAATACTGTTCTAGGTTTAGTCAATATAATAATTACAATTTTCTTATTCTGTATTAGTAAAAATATTTAAAGACTATGGGACTGCTGCTTGAAGACCTACATATATTTTAATTACATTAGATAAAAATTAAAGTCTCTGTTTTATAGCACAGAAATGTTTTACAAATAATCTTTTTTCTGAGTTTCTACTCTCAATTGGTTCTTTCAGTACTGTAAATTTTTGGTATCATATGTTGTTCCAATGCTTGCACAATGTTTTTAAGTCTAAAAGCCCTATAAATAATTTCCTTGATGCTGCTGGTGATATTCAAATATAGCAGAAATGTACATAAATAATTTAAGCTCTCTGTAAAACAGATAATAACAGAATCCAAGTTTGGCTTCCAACTGCTGTTTCAGCTTTGTAGAGTTGTCTTCATTTTTGTGGTTAGATGATTCCTATAATTAATTATATTTTCCTATTCTATAAACATCTCTACATTATTAAGTATCCAACTTCCCCACTCCCCATAAACTTAGCTAAGTAAAATTGAAAGGAGTTATTGTTTTCTAAATTTGGAAGGATGATTAAGTAGACATGGGTGAATTTTCATCAGTGAAAGATTGATTGAAAAATCCAGAAATGCAGCTTCCAAATACAAATGAAATGAACTTTTCCAAAATGTAACCCACATTTTTAATATTCTTAAGTAATAGCAGCAGGAAGCAATGCTTTATAATTTTTACATCATTTGTTGTTGTATATAAACAGGTAAAACAATGTCCAAATTATTTTATTTGGCATAATATGGGGGATACCCTTATCATTTAACCTTACTAAAAGTATACAAAATAAAAAATAGTTCATTTATATACTTTAGCAAACTCAGATATTATTTAGTAGCATTTTTTTAATGTGGGCCACTTTTAGTGGTCCTGTGGTGCTTCATTATTCTCTCAATAAAGCAAAAATATGCAGAATCTCAAATAATTCATGCTGACTGCTCAACGGGGGTGTATCCTACTGGAGGTGGTTGAAGTATTAAGAGAAAATCCCAGCTCACCCCCCCCCAAGCATCCTGTTCCTTTTCCCCCATCTTTTTAATTGCAATTTTTACTTTACTTATATGTATTTTTATGGTTTTATTGGCTTTTAATGTAAGCCACTCAATGGTCAGTCTCAAGGGGAGATCGGTGGCAAACAAATCTTATAAATAAATAAAAAACTACTACTACTATAAATAAATAAAAAATTACTATTGTAATATAAAGAGCTGGCAATATCAGCCTGAACAGCGCTTTGAAACTCACTAACAAATAATTGGTAGAAATATGTTCTGCCCTAGCTACGGATCCCAAAGAACACAGCACACACAAAGTTTGTACAAAACTGAATTTACTAAAATAACTCAGTCTTTTTCAAAACAAAGGCTGTTAATAAACTTTCTTAACAGCCTACAAGAAACCAAAGATAAAGTAATCACAATCTTACTAAGGTTGGCAGAAAGCCCAGAAGCAATTTGCAGAGAATCCAGACGCGAAGTAGAGTGAACTAAAGTTGTTTCCTACAAATTACTTCAGTCGCTGTTCCTCCTTAAATAGGCTAGGCTAAGGGAGTGGCCAATTAGCCCCAAGCCTTACTCTTGAGGAGACCTCCTCCTGAGGAGCCACTCCTGCCTTTTGGCCACTCTGCACGCCCGTGCATCAAGAAGAGGCTCCTCCTCTTCGTCCTCTTTACTTAAAGGAGTTTCTGGAGGTTTTGAAGGCCCTGACTAAATTCCTGCCTCTGGCACCACATCTTCTCCAGCCTCCTCATTGTCTGACTCGGGTGCCAGCTGCACAGGCTGCTGTCGCAACACCACACCAACCTTCTCGCTGTCAGAATCAGCTACAATCCGCACAGGCTGCTGACGAGCCACAACAAAATGTAGCAGATAGTCCTCGACTTAGAGCCACAATTGAACCCAGAATTTATGTTGCTAAGTGAGAAATTTGTTAGGTGAGTTTTGTCCCATTCCACGGCTTTTCTCACCACATTTGTTAAGTGAATAACTTTTGTTAAATTAGTAACATGATTGTTAAGTGAATCTGTCTTACCCGTTGACTTTGCTTGACAGAAGGTTGCAAAAGTGTCCCGGGATCACATGATCCTGGGACACTGCAACCACCATAAATATGAACCAATTGTCAAGCTTCTGAATTTTAATTACGCAACCTTGGGGATGCTGCAACAGTCATGTGTGAAAATTGGTCATAAGTCACTTTTTTTCAGTGCCGTTGTAACTTTGAACGGTCACTAAATGAACTGTTGTAAGTCTAGAACTACCTGTACAGTAATGTTACATTTCGTGTGTGTGCATGTCTTTGCGTCAGTGTTAACTCCTGGCAACTAACTGGACTAATCTGTAGTTTTCTTGGCAATGCAGTCTCTGCAGTTATTTGGAAATAGCTTTTGTCTTCTTCCTAGGGCTAAGAGAGAGTGGCCCATAATTACCCAGCTGACTGTATGTGTAAAGTGGGACTAGAACTCATAGCCTGCAGCCTTAACCACTACACCAAACAGGCTCTCAAAGTTACATTTACCTATGAAAATGTAGACTGTTGGTTAGACTGCAGATAATGATAAATTCTTATGAAAATTTGAACGCTTTTTGTAGAAAGAAATATAGACAGCCAATTTTTCAAAATTTCTCCAGTCCGTCATGTCTGCATTTTATATATTCCCCACAGGCTCATCTCCCAATTTAGATATAATTGGGAACAACTCATTTATATTTATGGATTTGGTTTAGATTGTTTTGTTTCAATCTTTGAAATTTAACACTTAAACAGAAAAAAAACCCAACCATCCTGTGGTTTTAAATCTGTTCAGAAAGTGAAGTGAATCCCCTGCCAATCTACTCCAAGGGTTGCTAAGTGGTTTCAATTACACAAATTCCCAGTTCCTTCCTGCAGCCATGTTGAAGTGTTATGTAAATCTCTTTATCAATTTCTAATTTTAACTCTGGAAAAATAAGGGTCTCCGCGCCCTCCCGCCCCCCGCACACCAGATCTGATTCATTATTGATTCAGATTGACTGACTTCTGGAGTATCCTCACCCTTACATAATAAGATGTAAGCTCCAAATTAAGATCTCGAGTAAGATTGAAAGGCCTTCAAACCCTCCAATATGAGTAATGCTTTGATTGCTTTCAGTTTATGAAACCTTTCACTGTTTTTTTAAAATCAATATTAACAATATTTCAGCTGATAGCACATTTGACAGTGGTCAAGGATCAACTGTGTACTCAGACTCCCAGAGTAGCCAGCAAAGTGTGATCTACTCATCGATTCCTGATGCAATACCTCCAGCTGTTCACCGTGTTTATAGCCCACCTCTCAGTGAGAGCCAGACTTTGCCACATGGTCTTCAGCAGATAGGGCCCTACCAGCAACCCACCGTAGTAAGTATGGTCTTCTTCAATTTTTCACAAATAAATTTTGAAAAAATGATTAAATTGTTGCATAACCTTGGAAGTCTGTTCAGCTAACCATTTTTCTTGGTCATGTTCATACAGGATGTATGAATGGAGTCACAAAGATATATATATAAGTTTGTTTACTTATTATTGTATGTAATATGAAGCAAAAAGGGTGGAAAATCTATTTTAGAAACTTTGTACATAAAGATTCTGAAAGTTATTTCACTCGTTATGCTTTATTGCTATTTGTATAGTCCCTCAAAACCATGTTGTTCCGCCAGGCTGGGCTATCAATGTAAAGATTTTAATTGGTTTTAAATGGGATTTTAAATTTGGGGTTTTATAAATTGGGCCTATTATTTAATAATTTTAATTATTTTTAAATTTTGTCTGTCTTTGTGTTTTTAATTAGGCTGTACACCGCCCTGAGTCCTTCGGGAGAAGGGCAGTATAGAAATAAAATAAATAAATAAATATAGTCAATGACATATTTCTTCATTTTTTAAAAAATAGCATTTGGGGTCAGCTTTCAGCTGTGTTAAAAGACTTCTGCTTAGTACTTTTTAAGCTCCTTCTCGGGACAGAATATTTTTCAAACATGAAAAGTGGTTTGTGTTCTAAGAACTCCACAGTTTAAAACAGGTTATTTGGGGAGACATTCACATTTTTTCTCCTTTTTCTGTTATAATGACATGAACAGCAAAATGAATAGAATATCCTGGCAGGAAGAACCACAGGCGGTTCTATATAACCCTTCTGATTTTTCCAGTAATAAAGATGGCACATGTCTCGTATGTGCTTCCTCAGAAACTGCATTGTGGCTTTGCTAAACCAGTAATTGTTATTTCTGATACAAAGCAGTACCTATAGCTGTTGCCATCATACTGATTCTACAATGTCAGGAAGCAAACCCAAAATTAGTCCAGGAAAGAAAAAAACAAAAAACAAAGGAAGTGGATCATACTTACCAGGATTACAGAAATCTTCACGTTTTTGCCTATTTTTGCCTATTAAAACTAGTTGTTAAGAATATAGAAAACAAGTTCTTTTTTGTTTAAAATATTAATCTCTAAAAACTGTTGAGTTGCTCAATTGTGAAGAAAAGTAACATCAGGGGACACTCAAAAATGCATTCATATTAAGAACAGATATTGTTGTTCCTATAAATCCTATGAGTTTAATCTGCGTATTCAAAAAAAAACAACAATAGCTACAAGATTTGTGTTTTCTTCTTCCATAATGCAATAGCCATTCAATTGTATAGTTCTTGTGTGGGCATGCATGTGTTTATCCTGTTGTTCCTACAGTGCCCTGGACATTTTTATTTTAATGGACATTGTCATAGCAATATATCTACTCAGTTAACCTGAATTATTAACATTAATTACTTGACTAAATAGTTTGAACAATTATACTCTGACAGAATGATAAGGTATTTTGTGGAGAGTTTTTATAGGCAATAGGTTTCTAAAGTAATATCTTCCTACCTACCTTCCCAGCCTGGATTTCCAGTGGTTCAGGGTCCAACTGCTGTTGTGCCTCCACAGCCACAACTGTATCCAGAACCAGCAATTCCATTTCCTATTGTCCATCCCGCCTCAGTTGCCCCTGTGCAGATGAGACAACCTCAGCCTGTATTAGTCAGCCAGCAGGTGAGAAATGATATATTCTGCCTTTATCCTCCCCTCCCCCTCTACACCTTCAAAATATACTCCTGTCTGGAGAACTTCCTGCGGAGTTGTTTTGGCAAGATTTTCAAAAGTAGTGTGCCATTGCTTCCTTCCTAGGACTAAAAGAGAGTGATTGGCCCATGGTCAACCAGTCATGCTTTAGGCAGGATTAAAATTCAGTCTTCAGGTTTCTAGCCTGTTACCTTAACTGGCTGTCTTTTTGCCGTTTAGGTAACTGTTAATCTTAAAACCAGTATGTAACTTGCATTATAGGCCTGATTGTCCATTTTATAGTGTAATGAAAATATTTCTTAGCGAATTTTAAGTACAGCAATGGATTAATGAGTAAATTAACAAGTAGGACAGCAGTAGCATCTGTGGTGAAGTATCAAAACAATAAGGCAGTTGTAGTATAATTGAAGCCCTGCTCCTTTTGTATTGTAATTGACATTGCACACATGTACAAAGGACAGGGTTAGGGTTAGGGTTAGGGTTAGGGTCCAGCAGGACTTTTTAAATCTCCCCTATGGGTTGGAAGGCAACAGAGCGAGAAAGCTTTAATTTCTTTCTTTACCCTATAGCAAACTCAAAATTAATTCCTGACCTCTTTTAACTTTGTTTCTCTGAATAGAAGAGATTGTCTTCATTCTTTGGACTTTTAAAAATGTTATTTCTATTATATATTATCTTGGCCTGACAATGGACAGCTTTATCATTTTCTTCTGCCATTCTTTCTTATTTATTGGGCTAATTTCACCAGTAGATGAAAATGATCATGAGAAAGGGAGGAGTATTTAGCCATGGGCATATCATTTCCAGACAATGTTTAGTTTGAGTTTGGGCATACATTTACATAAGTAAATGTATCCAAATCAGCTTTGAAACTATTTATTTATTTATTTATTTATTTATTTATTTATTTATTTATTTATTTATTTATTTATTTATTTATTTATTTGTTATTTTACTTGTATGCAGCTTACAAATACACTAAAATCCAGTAAAACATTAAAATAATACAACAATAATGATAAATAAACAATTGGAATATTGGATTGGAATTCGATGATCATTTAACAATTGGCTTTTTTGTGAAACTGGTAATCATAGTTTGCCAGTTCAGAAATGGGAACCATGATTATTATATCAAGACATAGCCATCCAAAAGGCATTTAAAAACTGGAACCGATGTCTTTTCAGAATATAGCATAAAAATGGAATTGCATACATATACTGTACTTCCTTTTACTTAACCTCTCACCATGGCTTCAGACTGTTCATTTTGTAGATTTTCCATCTATTAACTGTATTTTTAAAAAGTAGTTTTGTTGTTTGTTTGCTGTTTGCCTATGACTGCTTCTCCAATCCATGCTAATAGCACTTCAAAAACTTATATGATCTTTTTTTAATTCATCAGCAATCCATCTCAAGCCCAGCCCCTTTGCAGCAAGTTCTGAGCAATCAGCCCGTGTGCCCAGTACAGCAACCTGCACCTCACCTGTTGTCCCAGTTTCAAACACCCAGTTCTCATATGGCAGCTACCAGTATACCACTGGCACCTCTGCAGGTCCCCCCTGTGCAATCAGTTCCACCTGCTCAAGTAAGTCCTTTGTAGCACTCAATCAGGTTTCCTCATTTTGGCATGGAGACTTCATATTGCTAGAAACATGGAAATGTTTTCGTATATCAGTTGGCTTTTGTTGTAACATTGAATTATAAAAAAATTCTAGCTATTTATTACCTATTACCATAATAAATTAAAAAATAAAATAAGAAATTCAGAAAAGTTAAACAATATGCCACTAGCTCAAAGCAGCCCAGCTCTTGGAATTTTTTCACAATGGACCAATGAGATGAGGAACCAATCAAGAACCAATTTTCTTGGGCTTCTATAACTTGAGTTTCCATAATGTGGACTGCAGAGAGCAGCTTGCTAGGTTTAGATACATGAACTCAATCAGCCTTGGTGCCAAGAGGTACACCACAGAAGAGCCTCTGAAGATGCTAGCCATAGCTGCTGGTGAAATGCTAGAACAAAATAAAACTAGATCATGACCATTCAGCCTGAAAGTTCATCACTCCTCCTTTGATGCCAGCTATGGAGGCCTAAGCCAGTATTTAATATATCACTTCCTCATATTAGCACAAAAAGGACAGTTATATAAATATGAGAACTGTGTCATTTACATAGTAATAGTAACTTAATGAAGATTTTAAAAAAATGACAAATTGAAAAGAAAAAAATTAATTTTAAAAGGGGGAAAGAACATGCCCTACCTAAGGAAAATTTCTCTGTGTGTATAATTAGTTTATTTATATATTTTGTTTATATAAACAAAAAATGATTTTTTTTTAAGATATTGGAAACTTTGACCTTTGGTTCAAATCGTAATTTGAGTACAAAAGCATAAGCTCATTCAACATATTGTTAAATTGTGAAATGAGTGGTCTAGTATTTCATTTAAACTAGACCACAGCTATTTATTTGAACTAGACCACACTATCACTTACCAGTATAATCATTGTCACAATTTGCGTGGAGTGCAGTTTATTCATTTATTCAGGTGACTACCACATTTTTAAAAACAAATTCTCATGCAATAAAAAAAAATTCTATGAAATTTGTTTTGACCATTTTTCCAAAATGCCTCACAGTCTCATAACAAAAATTGTTTATGAAATATGAATAGCAACTAAATTAAATTGGATTCTAGGTAATAACTACAGTAATACTTTTTTTTTCCCCATTGAATCATGTCCAATTCTCAGAGGCTACCTGGTCAAGTCCCTCCAGTTTTCTTGGCAAGGTTTCTCAGAAATGGTTTGCCATAGCCTTCCTTCTTAGAGTTAGGTGAGAGTGACTCCAGCTGGCTTTATGCCTAAGGCGGGACCAGAACTCTCAGTTGCCTCATTTCTAGCCTGGTGCCTTAATCATATACAAACTGGCTGAATTATTATCATGTAATAATAGTAATGATAACAACATAGTAAAAATATGAATGGCATCATGGCCTAGTGGTGAAGATGCTCGCCTCCTACTTGGAAAGTTGAGAGTTCAATCCTAGATAGTGGCAGATGTTTCCCTCCTAGGGCACAAAGAAAAAAAATATCTGCTGCAAATTCCACTTAGGCATCAGGAAGGGCATCCAGCCAGTAAATGCTCAGCTCCATCCAGTCACCCTAACTCTAACCCGAATTAAGGGATTACAGGATTGTAAAAAGGAAATTTTAACATATAATAAAAATGACCCCAGCATCATTATCTTTCTGGGTGGCCTTAAGACCTGCCTCATACCTGCCTTGGAAGGTAAGCGATTCTGTATAAAGTGAGCCTTACAGAGAAATCTACCTTTAGGTCTCTTCCTATCTTAACTTCCTATCTTAACTATTTGGGTTGGAATACCCAAATAGATATTCTCAGACTGTTCAGGGCAGGCAAGCACATTTGATCAGGAAAAGCATTCTTTTAAAAACCCAGCCCCAAGTCATTAAACCTAGCAGTTTAAATTGTACTCAGTAACATGCTCATAACCAATGCGGCAACAATATCCAGTGGCAGTATCAAGACTAATAATCCACAAGCATTAAAAATGCTGAAGCTTCTGTGTGGCCTTCAAAAGCAGTCCCTCATAAAATAACTTTTAGTCATCTAAATGAGATGTAACAAATGCAAGAATCACTGTCCTCCATGCATTTTAATGCCAGGTAAGTGTACAGGTGGAACACCAGCTGAAACTGAGAAAAGGTTATCTTATCCACATCCTCACAAGCCCAGACCATGGTATCTGACCAGGTCATGGTATCTGCCTCATCCATTTTGGTCAGTGGAAGATGTGCAACTTTCTATCGTATTATCCAAATTGATATGATATTTCTCAGAGGATTTTTCTCAGTAGATGTTGAACAGAATAGGGGAGAGGACTGAGCACTGTAGCAGCCCATAATGAAGCATCTGAGAGTCAGACCTTTCCCCATCTATCATCACAATTCTGACATTCATATCCTGCCCAGGTGAATCTTGTCCAATATCAAGGGCTATTAAAAGATCTAGGGAAATAATGACAGTTGCACTGCTTCATCCAAATCCCAGTTCAGGTCATCCCTGACAGCAACCAGTGTGTTTTTTGATTCATGCTGACCCTGAATTTGGCCTGAGATAATCTGTTTTTTCTGTAACTGCAGCTCCATTACTTTTTCCACAACCTTCCCAAAGAAGGAGAGATTGGAAAAAGAATTTTCCATTGGATCTGATCCAGCCCTTTTGAGGAGTGGATGGATCAGCATCTCTTTAAGTGGTGCTGAATTTTCTTCTTCAGTGGCACATGCCTGGTCTGTCCTCTCATCCACAATTAAATCATATATGAGGCTAAGTTTATTGTCGACTGACATTTAAGACAATCAGCATGAGCCTACAATGCCCAGTCATGCAGTTGTCTGGCTTATGTGTCATGATTTTGGCATGGAAGTACAAATTTCCAATTCTTTTTCTCTTGGGGTGTCTCTTTCCCCGCCTCCAATCTTCTTTTATACTTTCCCCTACTTGGGCCTACTAATTAAGAATTTAAGAATTCTGGGAGCTAAAGTCTACATTTCTTAAAAATGTCAAGCTTGAGAAACACTGCCCTCAGCTACGACTTCCCAATTGTGCAAAATTACCATCTCTCCCACCGTTGGCTATCAAGTACAATAGCTGGGAGCTGCACCCAATGCAATCATGCATTTCCAAGCTTTACATTCTCCAAATCCTCTTCAACCCAGTTCTCTTCCCTTCCATCCTTACTTAGCTCTCCCCTAGCTGGATCAGATGGTGCTAAACACACTACCCCTTTTTCTCATTCTGGAAAAGTACTCTTCCCCCCTGCTTCTTTGCCATTTAGAAAGTCAGCAATCGTTTTCTTTTTGGTGGTTCTGCTTTTCCTATGTCTCCTCTGGTACTTGGTGTAAGGAAACAGAACTCCACTGGCCCATTTTAGTTGACACAGTTTCCTAAAGAACCTTGCTATCTGATGTACTTTTAGGCTTCTTCACGCTTTTATCTTATTTCTTCAGTCTTCTGTTTTTAATGTATTTTCCTGTACTATTTATTCCAGTTTTAATTCTACTTGTTCTGTTTTTCAAGAAAAACAATAGGTGGCAGATGGGTCTATAACAGTTTAATTATAGACTTCTAGTGCAATCTGGTATCAGATAGATAATAAGAGATAAAGCAGAATGTGTGATTCTTCTTCTGCAATCCCTATTTCTTAAATCTTTTTATATAATAAGAATAGCCCAGATTGACAACCCCAAGATAACAGAATAACAGAGTTGGAAGGTACCTTGAAGGTAGTCTAGTCCAACCCCTTGCTCAGGCAGGAAACCCTATAACATTTCAGACAAATGGATGTCCAATCTCTTCTTAAAAACTTCCAGTGTTGGAGCATTTACAACTTCTGGAGGCAAGTTGTTTCCACTGATTAATTGTTCTAATTGTCAGGAAATTTCTCCTTAGTTCTAGATTGCTTCATTCCTTGATTAGTTTCCATCCATTGCTTCTTGTCCTTCCCTCAGGTGCTTTGGAGAATAGGTTGACCCCCCCTGCTCTTCGTGGCAACGCCTTAGATATCACTGCTACCATGTCACTGCCAGTCCTTCTTTTCATTAAACTAGACATAGCCAATTCCTGAATCCATTCTTCATATGTTTTAGCCTCCAGTCCCCTAATCATCTTTGTTGCTCTTCTTCTATCTAGAGCAGTGGTTCCCCAACCTTTTGGCCACTAGGGACCAGTTCCGTGGTTTCATGTGCTGCCTGCATTCCATGGATGGGGCTTTCCTTGTTTGCATGGCCTGGTTTCTGGCATGCCGTGGATCACTGCTAGGCCATGGACTGGTGGTTGGGGACCCCTATTCTAGACTATCAACTTCTATTTTACATTGTGGCGACCAAAGCTGGATGCGGTATTCTACGTGTGGTCTTAACAAGGCATTATAGAGATGATATCATACAAATATTTTTGATTCAATTATTTCTGCTCCCAGTATCTGTCAAAGTTGTCTAAATAGCTCCAAAAGCAAGTCCTGATTAAGGTCTTCAGAATACAATAAAATCAAAATTAATCCTGAGATTACTCTTTTCATTTGTCCATCCCCTTTTCTCTCCAGACTTTACCCTTAGTGCAAATGATTCCTCTTTTTCTTTCCAGATGTAGCTTTGTAGCTTAATGGGGAAAAATACTTTGTTTGTACGTTGATCTCCCTGTAATTGTGTAACCACATTTGCCCAAATCAGCCCTCCCAGAAGCCTCAAAGAATATGTGATGCTCTCTGTGTTTTGACATCTTACTGTAGCTAACTACAGATACAAAATGTTGGAGTATATGGACAGATACAAGCTCCAACTATGATTGCATTAAACAAAATAAAGGTTTTCACAAGCAGGATGTTTGTTGTAAAATCTGATCATATTCAATGAGGACATGGATATTATCAAAGCATCACTTATCTTATAAATGACTAGCCACATGTTTACCCATCTGAGATGTAAAAGATATGAGAGGATTGCAACTTCCAGAAATCCCAAGCTTCTTGGAAATTTTGGAGTTGCCATTCACATACATCTAGAAAGGACCAGGTTCAAAAAAGCTGATCTATGATATGGTGTAGTTCCAAGAACTCAGTTAAGTAAATCTAGTACAAATGCATTTTAATTATCCCTGTAACTTTATTACAGAATAATCCATTTTAAATCCCACTATCTTAATAATAGAAGGTTAGCCTTATTTTTAATGATGAAGTAAAAATGAGTATGCAGATTATTTTGTATAGTTATAATGAGTGAAACTAATATCTCAAATCAAAGCTATAGGATGATATCAATGAATGTATATTAAAGAGCCTTGGTAGTACAGTGGTCTAAGGCACCCTGTTATTAAGCTGGTTATTAAGACCAGCTGCCTGCAATTACTGCAGGTTCGAATCTCGCCAAGGCTCAAGATTGACTCAGCCTTCCATCCTTTCTAAGGTGGGAAAATTGAGGACCCAGTTTGTGGGGGCAATAAGCTGACTTTGTATAAATATACAAAAGGATGAAGGCTATTGCTGAGCACATTGTAAGCCGCCCTGAGTCTCCGGAGAAGGGCGGCATATAAATCAAATTAAATAATAATAATAATAATAATAATAATAATAATAATAATAATAATAATAATAATAATAATAATGGTTTTGTCAAAGTTGTATAATGTTGAACGTTGTTATGCTTACTTATTTGTATTGTGAATAGCATCATTTATATACACTTACAGCTGCTATCCTGCTTTAAATAATTGGAATTATTTAAATCCTTGTTCTTACTTATTTGATAATGTATTCCAGTTTATCATTTTTAATATGCTCCTCCCAGCCTGAATCTCATTTGTTATGCTTGCTAAGTTCAACTAAGTTCTCTGTGTTGCTCTTACAGACATAATAAGTTGTTCTTATCCACTCTTGATCCTTGGCATACTTATTTCCTGCAGCCCCATATCCTTTGCACTGGTGATTTTTTTTTTTGCACTAATTCTAATGCACACTTAATCTGCATTCTGAATATTGCTGAATTTTACCATTTATTTGTCCAGCAACATATTATTCAAAATCATCACATGATTTCAATTTAGGAGGAAGATACTAGATTGCATGTAGTATATGTATATATTAATTAATAGAAACTTTGAAACTATAGCAGTTTTAGTGGAGATGAAGTGTTTGTGCTTATGCATGAGGTAGTTTATTAGTTGAGAGTTTCAGTTGAGAAAACAGCTACATAAAGAGGCTCCATGCATACCAAATCAGATACTATTAGTGCGTGCCAGATATTTGCCTAAAATGTTTCTAGACATGCAATGAGTGATTATTAATAGATTGCTGCATGCTTTATATATTTCCTTTTTATTAATTTTGGATTGGCAAAATACTAAATATAGTTAGCAGTTACTTTGAAAGCCTATCCTGCACTTATTCTAGAACAATTTACACTCATGAAAAAAATGAATGGAAACCATTTTTCATTTTATTGATTGATACGATTTACCCAACTCCAAATACTCTGGGTTGCTTAAAAAGAGGAATCATTTTATTAATATAAAGCAAATGAATTGATTTCATGTCATCTGGGAATTCTCTTGCGATTTATATAATATTATATTTTTTTCCAGATTCCTCAGTTTCCCATCATTCCTACAGTCACCCCTCTGGCAGGACTTGACAGTCATCCTTCAAGCCTGTCTGATATACCTGCTGCAAATATGCCCCCCAACCCTGCTCCTTCTCAATATTTTCCTTCAACTGTGATAATACCTGTGAACTCAGCTCTGCCACTGTCATCAAATTCCCCTGCCCTCCCCATGCAAGCAGTCAACCTTCCTCATACTAATGTGGCTTCCTTGGTCTTACCCTGCCAAACAATTGTGCCAAATATGCCGGCTGCTCCAGTACCATTACTTCCTATGCATCCGCCGGGAGTGTCAGCTTTACCAACACATCATGCAGCAGCCCAGCTCTCCCAACAACAAATGTACCAGGCTACCCTCCAGCAGATAATGCAGAACGAAGCTATGTCTTCTCCCCTCCACACTCAGAATATGCAAGCAGTTTCACAACAGCAGCAACAGATGCTGTCTTCACTTCCACAGTCACTTCAGCCAAGCATAATTCATCCTTCAGAACAGGCTATGTCTGCTTCTGGGGCTGGTAATCAGGTAATCTATTTGATGTTGGATTTTCATGGGTTTAGATCATAGGAGTAGTTCTCCAAGTGTCAGCTCTATAGATAGTTCAAATTTTAAGAGAAATTTGGGAGAAATTTTCCCATCGAGATAAGATAATGAAACCGAATCCTTAAAAATGAATTGATTAGAATAGTGAAACACTAAATACGAAGGGCATCTTGAAAAAGAAATGTCAGAGGATAAAAGAATGCTTAAGGTGCCTTAATTGGAAATTTCTGTCCCAGGAGGCGACATTATTTCTTCTAAGAAATGAAGAACACTTTTAATTTCCAGTTACAGTTAGTGTTTTCCAATATGTCACTGCAGTCAGAGTATAAAATGATAATAATTTCTTAATGAAAGTAAATGGCTTATAAGTAGGTTTGTAGAATAGCATAATTTAAGTGCATGCCGGCTTCTTTAAAAGTAGATATTTATTTTACAAAGAAGAATTTTAGAACAATTTAAGAATATTTAATGGTAATAAATACCTTCTGACAATTACAAATTTAAACAATGGCTGAAGATATATATATATACACACACCGTATGTGTGTAGGAATGTGTTTGTGTGTGTGTTTATGTGTATGTGTGTGTGTGAGAGAGAGAACATTTTTTTCAAGTTTAGGAGAATAGAAGCTTCTAATTTTAAATATTTATAAAATATTATAAGGTAATGTAATGCAACATAAGACAAGTATGGATTTAGAAGAAAATAATTTATAAAAAGATTGAATATTTCTTTTAAAAAGGAATGTTATAAGAAATAGCATTTTATCATCTTTCATCTACACCTTAAGAGCCACAGCATTCCATCTCAAACTATTGTTCTGTACACCCAACTTTACATCTTTATTTTCAGCCACATATTTGGTACAAAAAATTGTTTGTGAAGAATTCAGTCACCTGGTCCTAGTCTAACCTCCAATGAATCAATGATACTTATTCTCAATGGCTTCCATATTAATTGTACCATCCAATGTGGTTCTTTAATTATTTGAGATATCTTTTACTGATGTCCTGTACCAGTTTTGATTCAGAGTGTAAATTTTGTTATCAAATGGGATCTGGAGGCGTTATTGAAAATCTATACAGAAACTTTATACCTTACTCTAAAAGATGAAAAATAAGGAAATTCAAGCTGTGTCCATTTTACTTATGTCGATGGTTCCTATCACTGCAATTGTTCACTTCACATCCAACAAAAATCATGGAAATTTGCTGGTATCATATAAAATGATTCAAGTCCCTAAATGTTTGTCATATTTCCTCTATATGTATAACAACTGATAAAGATAGATAGATAGATAGATAGATAGATAGATAGATAGATAGATAGATAGATAGATAGATAGCATAGATAGATAGCATAGATAGTTAGCATAGATGGATCAATCAGAAAAACAGACAACATTTATATTGCAGGATCTAATCTGGGTCAGTCACCGGGACCAGAGGTTTAGTCTTGCGAGCTTTCAGACTCATGCTGGAGCCCATCCTCAGGGAACTTCTCTCTAGCAGAATGTGTCATTTATATATAACATTTATATCCCACTACAACCAGAACTGGCTAAAATATAATATATGCACAATAATAATTTATGTAGTACTAAAAGTAATTTTCTTTTTCTTCTATGATTTCCTTTGCTGCTGTTACCTTCTCTATTTGTTTCTATACCCCATCTCTTCTTCAGTTTCCTCTTCAGGTAAAGCTTGATTTAGTAACTATAGATTGAGCAAGAATAAAAATCTCCATAATGATAAATGAAAAAAATCTCATTTATCATTTTTATAAAAATGTAATCTTATAGATGCTATATAGATACAGATATAGTCTTTATGGCAAAGGTTTATTGACATATTCTAAACATATACAAAAAACTAATTAAGCCTGAAGTTTAATTGTACAGGTAATACCATGACATAATCCACGATCTTAACTATGAAATAGATGGCACTGGATTGCTCTGTTTGGTCTCAGGTAAACATTTAAAGTTCCCTCAAATAGCTATCTCTGCATAAAAGCCCAAATCCAAGGGACAGACTTCTTAAAGAGTTCCTAGCATTCTGTGAAGATGTGAATGATATTATTAGTCCTTTGGATGTGACAAATCCAGTTGCATAGAAAGCCTACAATCCACATTTACTCAGTTTGATTTAAATATTATCCCAATTTACTGAAATAACAGCTTGAAATGAAGCTATACTTAACTTGGACTCTCTTGGACAGCCAATCTTCTTGGGTATAACCTTTATACGAATTATTTATATTTTCTAACAAGTAGTTACTTCAGTTCAATTTACCCTAATGGATATTTAGGGTAATTTAAATATACACTAATGTATTTTGGTTCATAGCTCAACTTCATATTGTAACTGTAAATGTCTATAAACTTGATGTGCCAATTCAGTTATGTACATGTTCATTATAAGATATTAACTTGCACCAATGAGGCAAAAAAATTCAGATCCTAATAATGGATAGTTGTTGTGGTGACCAAATTCCAGTTACTTGCATTTCACACATCCATGAAATCATAGTTTGTGTGTGCAGAGTCCTCCCTCCCTCCCTGCCTCCCTCCCATTTCATTGCAGTATAACAAGGACCTATTTTTAATAATGTTGATTTAGCTAGTGAGTCTTTAGTGAACTTAGACTAATTACATATTTGATTTTTTTGAACAGATTATTGGACATCCTCAGTACGCTGTGGATATTGGAACCCATATACCTGCATTGCCACTGCAAGCTTCTGCCATTATATCACCACCATTGCAATTGCAGCCTGAAGCAATGCTGCCATGTATTGCTTCAGATGGACTTTCACAAAACAATCTTGGCACAACTAATTCAGCAATGTTGGTAGATCAGGGCTTGCCCCTTCAGTGTTCTATTTACCCGCAATCTCAGTCAGACAGTCACCAGCTTCCTGGCCAGCAGGTTCTAACTACATGTCCAGCTGTCCCAGTAGCTTCAGAACCTCCTCAAGAGACGGTATGTGTTTTCAAGTGCTACTAACTATAACAAAAATAATTAACCAAGTTAAAAGAGCTGTATTCCAATTTCATAGGTACATCCTCCAAACTTATTTTATTTTCTGTTTACTTCCCTATCTCCAAACTTGAGTACTTTGAAATCACTTAATTTTTTAATTCCTGCATTTGTTTTCTTTCCACATCTTTTCTTGCCCTTAACTTTTATTGACTTGGAGTTTCAGTTTTCCCAGATAGCAATGATACATGCACTGCAATATATGGACACTCATGACAGCCAGTTTGGTTTACTGGGTAAGGCACCAGGCTAGAAATCAGGAGACTGAGTTCTACTGACTTAGGCATGAAAACTGGTTGGGTGACTTTGGGCCAATCACTCAGACCACAATGTCAGGCTTGACCAACAAGTTGGTTGGGCAATTCCTGTTGTAACCAATGAATCAACACTCAATTGATCAAAAGAAAAGTGTTTCTGCACTTGCAGGAAAATGCTAAGAAGAAACAGAAAGTATATGGACATTTATATCTATGAAGAGGACTGAAATTTTGTTAGATTTTCACTAAAACCTGATTCTCCAGATACTTTCACCTAACATTTTGTACCAGGGGCAGTACATGAGAATTCTCATTGGGAAAATAGCCTCAGGGTCAATGTATCTAGTAATTTGCTCAGATAAATTCTGCTCCAAAAGATAATTTGGACTGTTAACATAAATCTGGCTTGTACTTAATTCTAAACTCTTCAAATGCTCAAAATGGCTCGGTTTGTTGATAAAGTGAAAATGACTATACACGGATATCAATCTTCAAAATGTAACAAATTTTGGCTAAATAATTATTCTTTATAATGTAGGAGCAAGCAGTACTGGAGAAACAGCAGTCACTGTCACAGAGCTGCGAAAGGTACTTTTTCTATTTGTCTATAACCTGGCATAAAGTTCTCAAACCACTTGCAAAATTACATCAGTATCTAGTAAAAGAGTAAAAATCTTAAGTAATTTCTAAAACACATACTCATTTTGGGATGGCAATTATATCTCTTTTTTTCTAAGCTCTGGGGGTGATGATGGTGATGATGAAGTGCCATCAAGTTGGTGTTAACTTTAGCAACTAAATGCTAAAGTTCCGTTTACCCAGGTCCCCAACTTAATTCTTCAGGTCTTTCAACCTGGTTTAATATACCCATCATTGTTATTGCAATCAAGTCAATAAATTTTGATGATGGTCTTTTTTTCTTTATGTCTGCCTTTTCAATAATTATAGGTCTTAATGAACCTTCGTTATTATTATTGTTCTTAAGCAAGACTTAATATTTTGAGAACAAATACCTAATAGATATTATTGTCCCATCTGCTTTCAAGAATCATCTCTTTCTTTTCCTCTTGTCCCTTTACAACACTCTACTCCATTCCATCATAAAAATATTAGGATACATAAAATTAGATTGAAGGTTATAGAGTGTTCGACTCTAAGATTGAATACTGTCACTTCCTCTTCAAATTAAAAATAGTATGTACTGCATAATTATCATCCTTCATGGCTGCACATCCCTTTTTGCATGGGAAATAAGAAATAGTAAGGAAGCTGTTTTTCAGACAGCCTGGAAGCCTACAAAATCTGACACCATTTCTAAGAAAATGTTTTGGAATTCATAACAGAGATTCATAGCAGAAAGGAAGAATCTATAAACATGTATTTCCCCATTCCACCAGTTGAATTTCTTAGCTAGATCAAAAATCTCTTCTGGAAGGAAAAGGCTTTCTCTCCATGAGAGATTCTAGAGACAGCTGAATGGGTGACACTTAGTGGGAACTTTAGGAGAAACATTTCAATTTAAGGAAGAACTTCCCATTGTTGGAACAGGTGGTTTAATCAGAGACTGGGGCCAACCTCTTAAGAGCATTGAAACTATATTTTGCATAGTAGTTCCTTCAAAGAACAAAGGGATGGGCTACAACATCTCCATTTTTTCAGAACACTTTTATGAAAGGTAGCAAAGATATTTCAAATTGGGAGAAATCGTTTTCTTTTCTACAGTTCTAGAATGCTGGAGAAACTGAATCATTTTCTTTTAGATTCTTAATATTAGAGGTTTCAATAGAAGTTTGATTAAATTTGTTGCCCGTTACAGTTTACTTTATTATATGTATGTTATTTTACAAAATCCATTCCTCCCACAGTCTTGTATGCATGTAGTAAAATTGTATAAATTATACAATTACTTAAAAACCTCTCTTATATCTAGCATCATTATGATGGTGGATAAGGTCAAACTTTGCTGATAAATGTCTGATTAGTTTGTGTACTTTTGTGGACTTTTAAAGTAAGCCTGTATGCTAGTAATGTTTTGTCTTTTTTTAATTCCTGCTTTGTCATCTTACCACAAAAGTTATATGAGTCCTGATGTTGCTTCTGGTAAAGAGATGAGTGACAGTTTTGAAGGAACAAGTGGAGGTGGGAAACAAGAAGGAAAACCTTCAAAGAAACATAAAAAATCGGCACGTGCTCGTTCGCGCCAGGAAAAATCCAATAGGCCCAAGCTTACCATTTTAAATGTAAGACTCCTTCCTTTTCTTAGTTTCTAACCTATCAATTTTATTGTATTGGATCCAATGATTGGCTCTTTTTACAGGTATGCAATACAGGGGATAAGATGGTGGAATGCCAACTAGAAACACACAATCACAAGATGGTCACTTTTAAATTCGATTTAGATGGTGATGCTCCAGAGGAAATTGCTACATATATGGTAGGATCTTTTCTTGATTTAAGAATTTTAAAACAATGTTGACATTTCAGTTTCATAAATTGCATGGATGACAATACTATTTGTATAGTTACAAAAAAAATATATTTCCAGTCTTTTGGAAATTAGCTGTTGAAGTAAAATTAATTTCTGACTAATACTCTTGATAGTCTATGCAAAGGGGAATTAGTTTAGAATAACAATTAGTTTAGAATAAACAATAAGTGAACCACAACTTTTAATCTTTGTTATTTGGGACATTTGCCATGCCTTCTGATTTATTGATAACAATCTGTTGTCTCAATTAATTGGCTCTAGTAAGATCAAAACAATTGAATTACCTTCATGATACAAAAATGTTCTGTGAAATGCCTCCTATATACTGAAGCAGTTATTTACTGTTTAATTAAACTAAGCACAAAATTTGTTTTTCTGCATGTAAAAATTCATACTATGTTTTTTTTTTTTAAAAAAAGGATAAGCAATCAGGTAAAAGGGCTGTAGAAGAAACCCAGAAAAATGGCATTTTTTAAAAAATATACTTTTTGTGTATTCATATAGGTTGAAAATGAATTTATACTACCAACTGAGAAAGAAATATTTATTGAGCAACTGAAAGAAATTATTGACAAAGCAGAAGATATGCTTAGTGAAGATACTGAAGGGGAACGAAGTTCTGATCAAGGTGTCAGCCCTCAACAAGATACCTACAAGCTTGAAATCAATGAGGTATTTAAGTAAAATAAATATATTTAATGTTTCAACTACTAAATGCTTCAAACAATAAACTTTTCAAACAATAAATATTTAACATAACTTATTTATGTCCTCCAGAAGTTATGGATTGCAACTCCCATCATCCATGGTGAAATAAATCATGCCTGTTTGGGATGGATTGGAATGACTTGTGGGTCTAACAGATTATTTATATTAGTTGGCATGCAAAGAAGTATTTAATTATTTTTATGCTAGTATATTGGGTTTTTTGGTGATGAATTTGAGCAGATTCCAAATGGAAGTACTTTAATAGACTTTAGTAACACTGTTCTTTCATTTTAAATAGGAGAATCGCCAATCCCATGCAAGAACGCCCATCTACCAACAGAATGGTAAAAGTGTTTCCTTGAATATGCATGTGTATCACCCAACGCTGTAAGGCAGCGTATCTCAACCTCAACAACTTTAAGATGTGTGGACTTCAACTCCACAAATTCTCCCACATAGGAAATAAATTTCACACATCTTAAAAGTTGTTGAGTTTGAGAAACACTGCTGTAAATTAATACTTAATTATACTAATGACATATTTTAAGATTGTGTCAAGGTCAGCCAGCCAATAGTCATTGCATTGAACACACTAATTTTCTGTGGCACTGCATTTCTTCAGAGATGTTTTTTCGTTGTTCTGTGCCAATTGCTGTGATGAGAGCCTTGGCAGAAAATAAAATATGAAACTTAATTTGGATAAGTCTATGAATAGCTTTACATTTGTCTCTCATATTGGACTTCAAGTGTTAATTTCGCAGAATGAACTTCGATCATTAATCTTCATTTGTTTTATTAACAGACATTATTTTTAAATGTGGTATTTGTCAACTTTGAAGTGAACCTGGCTGAAGCCATCTTTTGCTGCCTCATAGTTGCCACGAACCATGAGAGGGGAAAGGGAGGGGGGAAGATAGACCGGCTAACCGTCAAAACAAAAATGTTTTCCTGTGGGAACCAAGGTCATCTTAACAGGTGACTGTTGAAGGAGAGGAGTGACCAAGCAGCCTGCCAGCTATATTCATTGGACAATGTGACTGGTGACATCTGGGAGGGGGAACTTTTGCTCTTTTAAATAAGGGGAAACCCGCGGGAACTTTTAGAGTTGGTTTTCACTGGCTGTGCTGATATGATGTATCCAATAAACATGTTTTTTGAGGAATCTACCTGCCTCAGAGTTCTGATTTCAATGGGTGCGTTACTCGGAATGCTGACAGTACCACATTACATTACATTACATTATGCAATATAATGCAATACAATATGCAATAATGGACTTTTGGCTAATTGTTGGTACAAATGTTTCTTCATTTTAATATTTCCTGTCTTTAGTACTGCATACTGGGAAACGTTGGTTTATCATTTGTCCCGTTGTGGAAAATCAAGCTGCTGAAGTACCAGAATTCTCTTCTCATGCGCCTCAAAGTGCAAAGCAGTCTGACGCCCCAGGTATCTGTGAGGTTTTGATATTGGAAAAAAAAAATTTTTTCAAGCTACTTTTAAGGGGAAGGAAACAAGGAAAAATATGTACAAACCCATTTATAAATTTATGCAAGTATGTATACATGCTTCATTTTTCTTCTCAAGGGGATGCTCATATAATTGTGGTCTCAATTGCCATTGTAAGTAAAGGACTATCTGTATGGCTAACAGCGATTAATATGCAATGTACAAAAAAAATATACATTACAGTCAACTTTCTTGAAAGTAATCAAGAATTAAAAGAGTCATGAAAAAGATGTTACAGAAAGACTAGGGATGAAATGTAATGCTTGGGACATTTGCAGATGAAGGACCTCTCCTAATAAGAGCCTGGTGGCGCAGCAGACTAATAGCCTGTTATTAACGTTCAGCTGCCTGCAATTACTGCAAGTTCGAATCTCCCCAGGCTCAAGGTTGACTCAGCCTTCCATCCTTTCTAAGGTAGGTAAATTGAGGACCCAGTTTGTGGGAGCAATAAGCTGACTTTGTATAAATATACAAAAGTATGAAGGCTATTGCTTAACGCATTGTAAGCCGCCCTGAGTCTCCGGAGAAGGGCGGCATATAAATCAAATTAAAAAATAAGTAAATAAAAAAATTGCCTTGGAAAGAGAGTCATCTTCAGAAGGTTTCTTCTTCAGAAAACTCTGCACAACTCATAATGGGAGAGACAGTTTTTCAGATAATAAAATTTTGAATTTTAGAGATTAACACAATTGCACAAATTATGCTCAGCATAATACAAATTTGAACTAGTGCAAGGATAATGAGAACCCAAGTTAACAACCTATCTGCATTCTTCCGTATCTTTACAGTGTTTCAAGGGTAGTTTCACATGAAGTATACTGTAGGGGTGAAAACAGGATGTAACTGAAGTGTGAATCTGGCTCAGAAAGGATTGCAGCTGGTGCACCAGCTGCAATTGCACTACCACACTTTTGGCTACAGCCACTATGTATGAGTCGTATTGTCAAAATGAAGATGTATGCTTTCAGGATTAATACAGTTCCACATAAAAATAAGCTGAGTGCTGTCCCTAAGCATAGCAGTTCTTAAACTATGGGTTGAACAAAAAGTGGGTACACATAAAATTTAACTTCTATCAGAAGTTCCTCCCATTCTACCTAAAGAAATCAACATCTGGCTGGTCCACACAATTCTACAGCAAGTTCTAGCAGAGCTCCTTTAAAAATATATCATTGTACTGCCACTTAAAGTTCCATTTAAAAAAATATTTCTGCATTTATCATTGCACCACCAAAATGGAAGATCAGGTTGGGAAATAACTGTAAGATCGGCATGCTAAGATCAGATGCTGAACAGATGAAAGAAAAGAAGCTGAGGAAGAAGATGACAAAGAATGCCTGATCAGTTCCAATAGTAATAGGTGGCTTGGGAGCAATTCCAAAACATCTAAAGCATCACCTGAACACCATCAACATTGACAAATCATCATCAGTTGCAAAAGGAAACTTTATTTGGAGTAGCTTACATCCGGCAATAATACAACAATTAACATTATTTTATTTATTTTATTTATTTATTTATTTATTTTATTCAATTTCTCCTAGTGGACTCAGGGCGGTGCACAGCCAAAACTAAAACATATAACAATACAAAATTTAAAATTATTAAAAGAATTATATACTTTGGCCCAATTTTAAAACAATTCGAATTAAAACCCATTGACAGATTAAAAGCTAAACAACTAAAAAATATATATTAATTATTAAACAACAACATCTGTTGATAAATGGACAAAAATGTCAGATCCAGTCTAAATATCTGGATTATTGTGTGACCAACCATAATAATATTGGGCAGCAAGATGGACTGCAAACAAACTAACAATTAATTAATCAAAGATAGCTAGTACAAACACAGAAGTACTGAGAACAAAATTAATCTCTGAAAATGCACATATTTATATCCCTCTAGTTTAGAAATACTTTAAAAAATACAAGAACACACAACCACACTCCATCAAAGCAATGATGTCATCCTATGGCATGTAGATTCTAGAAAAATTATATAGTCATGAAAGAATGAGAGTAAAAGAAGGCAAATAATATCTATGTTTATTATGAAATTAATTTTTATCTTGTGGACCCCTTGAAAGGATGTCAAAGATTCTCAACAAGTACCGAATTTTGAGAACTGCTGTTTTAGAAGAAAATTTTTATTTCAATCATTTAATACCTATGAAGATTGAAATAGTTGGCGGAATCACTTCATTGTGAGAATAAGTATCATAACCTTTCTGCAAAGAGTACACATTTATGGACATTACCCTGAATCAGTTTTCTTTTAGATGTGTAGATGTAATTGAAATTCTTGTCATATAAATGACTTTTAAAGTTTTATGTAATACACTGAATGCAATGATATTAATTTTGATTTTCCAGTTGGTTAAAATGGGACAGGCTATTATGGTTAATAGCCAATGCAGTTCAGTAGAGTTGTGTTAGAAAAATCACTAGGATGAGCTGTCATACTCAGTGCAATTAAGCATGTATAATTGTTTGATCTAAAATAATTTAGCTGAAAAAATATTTCATCTTTCTTAATTTCTTTGGAAAAATGGCTAATGCTCAATGCTTGTTAAAATCTTTGTAGAAGTATTTAGATTTTAACGAAGTCATTTTCTGAATTCAGAAACATCCTTTTGCTTTTGTTGTTTATAGGTCTGGAGCTGTTGGATGACCAGCAACAGAGCTCTGCAGTGACAGAAAAACAAACAAGCATAGCTTATCAACATATTTCTAATCAACTTAGCTCCAATGAGTGTCCCAGGGGAACTCCTCCTCCTTCTCCTTTAACACAAGTTTCTGTTCCATCTTCATTAACTTCCCTTTCACAGGTCCATCCAATGTTAGCTTCAACCACACTAGAAAAAATTGCTGAAAGTACAAGTCACCTAGAATGCCCTTTGCCACAGTCAGTCTTAGCCAGTCAGTGTGACACCCCTGCCCATTCTACAGCTACATCTGAAGAACGTTTTGAGGGTAAGGTCCCTCAAAATACCTCACAGCACACAGTACAAAAGAAAGATGAGAAAATTTGTTTTCCCAATGTAGAACATGAACGCAGCACAGCTGGACCGCCAAAACCATTTCAGTCTGTTCCTGTGCAGACAACAGAAAGTCCTTTCACTGTCATCTCTGATGCTCCTCTTTTGGAACTTCAGTCTTCAACCCAAACCCCCAGTTTGTCAGACAATACTCAACTTGGCCAGATATCACATTCTTTTGTAGACCAGATACCTCCCATACCTGCTGTCTCTGAACTTCCGGTTTCAGCAACATCTCAACTTTCAAGTCCTCCTCATCTCTCAACAGCTGTATCCCAATTGCATATGCCAACCCAGTCCCAGCCGGTTGCATCCACTGGCTCTGCCATGACTGCACCTCAACCACCTTGTATGGTAGAATCAGATGGTGAAGGACCACCAAGAGTTGATTTCACTGACAACACAATAAAAAGTTTGGATGAGAAACTTCGCAACCTGCTGTATCAAGAGTATATTCCAACATCATCTGCTTCAGCAGCAACACCAGACCAAGTGGATGGTGAATTTAATCTGGCATCTTTGCCTGCACTTGTGTTAGATTTGAAAATTCCTGGAGTTGGCTTGGATGCTCACGTGGCTGAAGATCAATCCTCTCCAATTCTGGCAAGTCAAACCATTCATTTAGAAATCATGAAGATGCCTATTAAAACTGCTGTTCTAATAAATATTTTCAACATTGGTCCTATTGCTGACTTCTAAGGGTCAAACTATAATTGTTACCTATCAGTACTGAGGTACTAAAACCCCCCAAAAAATTCTTCCATTTTTTAAAAAAATGTAAATCTTCCATGTTTCCAAAAACTTCATTAAAAAAAGAAATCAGATGCCCCTTACTTAAAATTCATTGCATTCATAATAATATCTTATTTACATTGACACTTCTTCGAACTCAGTGTTATTGAATCAATTTTAATATCTTAAACTAAAAGATGATTAAGGGCACCATTGCAAAATAAGTAAATAAAGGTGAATCGGAACTCAGCCTTATTTATTTTATTGACCTGAATAGAAAATATATATCATGACAGAATTTCCCTTTTCACTTAAAGTTGGTCTTTTCTCATTTTGGCCTTTATTAATTTTTTACTAGATCTGATGTGAATGAAGGCCAGTCGTATTATGTCACATTTAGTAGCCAAATACAATATGTGATTTTTAACACTAGATTCTAAAATATACTTGATAAAAATGTCCTTCATGAGTAAAAAGCATAAACTTGTTAGAGTTTATACCAGATGAAACAAAAGAATATACCTTTCCTTCTCTCCCATTATAATTGCAAATTGTATCAATTCACTCATCTCTATTGTATTGACAGAAAATCTAGGCCCGTGATGGCGAATCTATAGCACATGTGCCACAGGTGGCACGCATAGCCATATCAGTGGGCATGCCAGCTCAGCTCTGGCGGCACGCGCGCTCTGGCCAGCTGGTTTTTGGGCCTTCTGGGCCCACCAGAAGTAGGGAAACAGGTTGTTTCCTGCCTCTGGAGGGCCTTGGGGGGGGGCATGGGGAAGGACTGTTTTTCTTTCTTACCTGGCTCCAGATCCTCTCTATGCATCTGCGGAGGGCGAAAACAGCCTTTCCCACTCCCTCGGAGGCCCTCCAAAGGCCTGAAACGGCCCATTTCCCAACTCCCGGTGACGTTTTTTGCTGTCCCCAGCCTCCAGAGACTCCTAGAGGGCCAGATAAATAGAGAGGATCTGGAACCAGGTAAGAAAGAAAAACGGGCCTACCAGGCCATCGCGTGCCAAGAGCGGGGGGGGGGGGGGGGGGGGGGGGGGGGGGGCGCGGGGCGGGGCGCATAGAATTATCGGTGTGGGCATGCGCACACGACCCTCCCCCGCCCCCCCTCTCCTGGCACGCGATGGCAAAAAGGTTAGCCATCACTGGTCTAGGCAACACATTTCATTAGTATCCAAGAAAAGGTATAAGTACTGTAAAGAACACCATCTTCAATTAATTTTTTAAAGTACATTAGTCTCAGAATGTCTTAATTTGGTGAATAGATGTATGTCAAACTTTATAAATATTTGACGAGAATATTCCAAGTTCTGAGTCTTCAGGCAATAAAGAGAGCCTATTCCCTGGAATTGCTCAAGGAATCAGAAGATTTCCCAGTGGTTAGATTACTTATTAAACATCTGGCCCACAGAAGTTGTCCAGAAGGAAACATGCCCTACAAATGCTTTTCATATTTTCTGGACCTCATAAAAAAGCAATAAATTCTTAATAAAGGAAGTGCTTCAGGATGGAAAGTATTCAATCCAATCCTTGCAATCCTGTACCGGGGATGCATTCGCATGCACGCGTACATACACACAAACATTCACATACTTTGTTGGATCTTTCAAATATATCTCTCTTATTCTATCTATCCCTTTTTCTAATTGTTCTTAAGTTCAGATGCTGAAATTCCTGGCATACTTTTTGATTTGTCTTCGGATTCATGTTAGTATTCAGAATGAGTTCCAGTATTCTATTGTTGTAACTTCTTACAAGACATTATGTTTGCAGTAACCTGTGTATCTAGGGTATCTTACTAATTATGTGATTCATCTCATGATCTCAGTCTTCGAGATTATATGCTTTCTTTGTCACCTATAGAGCCCTAGGATTCTAGTTAATTTTTTAAAAAAATATATCTACAGCTTTTTTCCTTATAGCTGGTACATTTATATAACATACACAAATAAGCATCACTACTTAAGAAGAAGAAAAAATTATGCATCTTCAGTTATGTGGCTAGTTTCCTAGAAATCATTATTATCAACTTGAGATATCTAATGTGGGCCCATATATAATCTACATCTCCAGTATGTTTTCAAAAACAGATTTGCATCTAATACGTAGACCTCCTTTTACAATATATGATAACTTTCCTGGTCTGTGAATGTGCTCAATCATGTGCTCACAGATTTTTCATTTCAAAGCCAGACAGTAATAATGTCTAGATATGAGACTGTCAGGCTGGCAGTTAGTGATGGCTAAAAATTATCCAAAAGAAAAATATCCCTTACTATGATCCTTCTGAAGGTCTAGTATTTTCTCCTGACCAACATGCCATAGAAGCTAAGAAGATGCTATGTATTGAGTCATCCTGTAAATATGTGCATAGCGTCTTAGATTATTACTCAAACTGGCATTATTGCTCTCCTCCTGAAATTCTGGTCTCAATCTAGTTCATCTTTGAAAACATATTTGTTCAAGAAAAAGTGACTATCCATGAATAAACCATGTAAAACACATTTGATTTCATCCTTAATAAATCCATATGAGACATGTTTCATTATTTCTTTGTAGAATCAAATGAGTGATAAAATTAAGCTATTACCAAGTTGAATTTAAACAGAGTGTTGCTTCTGCCTCTTGTTAATTTCAAAAACGTAATCCAACCTTTATTAGTTTATTATTATGTTAACTTCTCAATTCTTCTGATAAGATACTTCCTACTAGTATTTGTTAGGTGTTCCTATTCATCGGTGTTCTGTTAGGATTGTGAAGAAGAAAGTTCTTCTTCCAGAAAAGGACTTCAATATTACCTTCCAGTCAAAAAATGAGACTTCCAACTATATTGAACACATGCCGGTCCACATGGAAAAGTTCTTTAGATACGAGTGTATTGCTGAACATTTTGAATAATTTAATGGCCCAGCTAATCCATACTTTTTAAACATGACATAGAAAATTCAAACAAGAAGGGAAAGGGACATTTGAACATTTGGCAAACTAAAATTCTTTAACCAAAGTTGGAACAGCATGGACCTGGTAAAGAGTAATACAGATAGTCCTTGATTTACGACCACAATTGAGCCCAAAATTTCTGTTGCTGAGTGAGACATTTGTTAAGTGAGTGTTGCCTCATTTTACAACCTTTCTTGCCACAGTTGTTAAGTGAATCGCTGCAGTTGTTAAGTTAGTGACCCGATTGTTAAGTGAATCTGGTTTTCCCCTTGACTTTGCTTGTCAGAAAGTCACAAAAGGACCCAAGATATTGCAACTGTCATAAATGCAGGTCAGTTGCAAGAAGCATCTGAATTTTGATCACCTGATCATGGGGAATGTTGCAACAGTTTTAAGTGTGAAAGTAATAAATCATAAGTCGCTTTTTCAATGCTGTTGTAACTTTGGCCACTAAATGAACTGTTGTATCGAGGATTCCCTATGTCAGTGTTTCTCAACCTTGGTAGCTTCAAGATGGGTGAACTTCAACTCCCAGAATCCCCCAGCCAGCAGCTCTGGCTGGGGAATTCTAGGAGTTGAAGCCCACCCATCTTCAAGCTTCCAAGGTTGAGAAACACTGCCTTATATGTCTTGGACATCTCAAACATAAAGCTTTTTTCTCAAATATATGCCGGATATATGTCAAAGATGAAATAATTATTATGTAAATTAATCTTAAAGCCAACATAAATTACGCATACAAATATGTGTGCTCACATGTGTCCATGTAATTTTTTTCAACTATGTTTGTAATTCTTTACTGCCAAGAGCTATATGGTTGTGGCACTTTAGAAATCAAATCAATGTACTACACTCTGTTTTCTGTGATTTTAATGTAACCACATGTGGTACAGTATGAACTAGAAACGTGAAAGAAGTCCACTCCCAAAATAAGCAGAAAAGGAAAAATTGACTCCTTTCTTTTGCGTAATGTCCCTCTTCTAGAAGACTACTCTACAGTACTGTGAACTCAGAGTACTAAAAATCAGAAGAGGGACTGTATAAATTTTACATATCATTTAGGTTGAGAAAACAGAAGTTTATATGAAACAGTATTTAACATATTAAACATTAACCATGTGGTGCCAGAAGGGAATGAAGTCTCCAAACAGTGAAATGCAAATCAGTGACTTAAGAATGGTTTTCTTTAAGATGAAATATAAAAATAATTTTAGAGTTTATATATTTCTATACAGATTAAAAACTTGCAAGATTAATTTAAATTGTTATATTTTGCTTATAGGTAGAACAATCTGATGTTACAAGCACCGGAATCCAGCATTCAGAAATAAACAAAGCAGGTAGTAGAGCATAACTTTAATATCCATTTTTCTTTCTAAGAATATATGAACAACAATGTGGTAGGTTATTAGATATAATTATTAAGAAAACTAGGAATTAGTGAATGTGTGTACCACAATAGCAATGCAGAATGTAGTAATTTCAAGATAAAATTTAATATGTAATTCTCATGGAAAATTTATGTATGGAAATATATGATGATAATTTTAATATACGAAATGTTAAATATGAATGCTATATAAGTAATGCTTTTACTTCTGATTAGGAAGCCAAGCCATATAAATTATATGCATATGGTTTTAAACAACATGATGTATCTTTTACATATTTGTATACAAGCCACTCAGTCACTCAAGTAATTTTATCCAGGAAAATCCAATGGGCAAATTAGGAAACCATGATTTTGTTCCCTATCGTATATGTGGAAAGCAGGGGGGCATTTTTTTCTGAACTGATTTTAAGTAGAAAAAATTGAAATGTTACTGTTTTTAATTATGAAGATCGTGTATCATTTTTCTGTGATGCATATTTTAACAATATTTTCAGTAATGATTGTAAGAAACAAATATCTTATTTTTCTTTAAGCCTTCTTAATAGATTATATTAGACATTGCATAGAACGTTCTAAGATAGATCATGTTGTTTAAAACCATATGCATATAACTGAAATTATAATCTTTATGGTGATATCAAGCATTGGATCTACCACCATGATTTATGTTTAATTCATATATATCTGACCTATAGTCTTGAATATAACAGTGAAACTAGAGTTATGGCCTTTGAGGATTTTATTAAATAAGAATTTTTCATATTTAAATTTTGCCTTGCTCTAAAATTTACCAATCCAGATATATGCATGTTTTCTTTTTTGTTTGTTTGTTTTCAATATATTAAACAGGTCAAGATGTAAATGTCAGTTCACCTACTACTATCTTAACATCAGGATACACTCAGGTACTGTTACCTTATATTGGTTTTTTTTCCTACATCTTATCCCATTCCTCAGACAATTGCAGCTAATGAAGGCCACTATTAATTCCTATAAAAATAATGTTTAAAGGCAGGTAAGACATTAACTAACTAAGCCTTTCTTTCATTTATTATTTCAGGTTGTTTCTTCTTCACTTACAGAAGACCAGAAGGACATTGCCAAGAAAAACAAATATCAAAAAGATGGTTTTATAGACTCCAATGTCAAAGAAGCGGAAACACCAGCAAAAACTATAGGCAGATTTTCAGTGATCAGCACTCAGGATGAATTAACTTTATCATCTGTGCATTCCTTGAGGTATTCTGCACCCCCAGATGTTTATCTGGACAATCAGCCTTCTAGCCCTGATACAAAGTCACCTCTGCGCCGTGTGCAGACAGCTTCCTCTTTTGATGTTCTTTATGGAAAGGATTCCAGTGATTCTGGAGATGAATCTTTTCCAGGAAAACAAGATGTGTCTGCACTGTCACCTCAGAGCAATAGACTGGGAAATGACAACATTAAAAAGACTTCATGTATTCTGCAAAAGTCAGTAAAGTCAAGTTCACAGGGCCTTAATTCTCCAAATGGTCATGGATCAAAAATCCCAACTATCAACATAACTTCTTTCCATTCTCAGTCATCATACGTGAGTAGTGACAATGACTCAGAGTTTGAAGATGCAGACATGAAAAAAGAATTGCAGAACCTGAGAGAAAAGTATGTTTCCGTTTTATCCAAACAAAGGGTTTTTTTGTGCATATGTGTTTGAGCAGCTTATCCAAATACACTTTGACATCTTTTGTCATTTGTTCCTTTCTTTTATTTATTTATTTTTATTAGATTTTGAAAGCATTTATCTCAAGTTGTTTTATGCATTTGATGTACAATATTCTTTCCATGTTTTTGTTCTCATTTTTTTGATAAAAGCAACATTGTGCAGTAAAGAAAAATTGGACATCGTATATTACAAGACAAAAGTGGCTTTATTCACCAAGAGGCATTTAATTGCCTTCAGAACTGCCAAATAAATGGAATTCACATCGAGCAAGGACATCATATACTTAGGATTTTTTTTCAATCATTTACTCCTTGGAAGAATTGAATAAAAGATAGCACTATTTGAGCCAAAAAATACTTTCAGAAATATAATTTGTTTTGCTAATTGAAGTGGCAATAACTTTTGTCCCAGATATAGTAAAATTATTTAGGACAAAAGTATGCTTTGTCTATAGAAGACACATGAACTCTTGAGCCAATCCAGTCTAAATGGATAAAAATATTGTTTTGTGTCTTCTAGTGTCTTGCTTTTCTGTGGCTGGAAATTAAACTTGCGTCCGCTGAGGCTTATTTGAGAATTTGTTGATTAAAGTATTGGTAAATCAGTCTCAGTGAAAGAGTCTTTGGACTAGGTAGTTCCTAGGTTCTTTATTTTATTCATTTATCATTAAATGTATACATTGCCCATCTCACTGTCCAGCCTGGAAGAAATGTATGGTCTTGGATTTAAATTATTGTAGCTTCTCCATCTAAGTCTAAATTGATGCTGGCACTTGAGAGAGCCACATATAGACAGAACAGGGACCTTGATTTACAGAGAGAGATGAATAAAGCTCCATATTATTGCAATTTCAACCTCTATATTGAACTTTTATTTTGTCCAGTTACTTTTCCAACACCACCTCCATCACACATCATCTGTTGTGTTGCACTAACCTATGCATCACCAATGGTATTTTGAAGAAACAATACCCTTGTTAATTAAATTTAGGGATTATTTTGAAGAGATGAATTCTTTCTTATTGTGAACAGATTTGTCTATAAACAATTTATGGATATATGTTACATAAGTATCTTTATGTGATTGCATAAGACTCCAGGCTTTATATAGAAAATATCTGCACAGTATTTTTCTGCTGTTTGTACATGTTGTTATGCATTTTATTAATTTCTTGGTTTTCTTTTTTTGTTTGTTTGTTACTATGTTAATATCCTGTTTTGTTGTTTGATTTATATAATCATGTAGTTGGTGTGATCTCTTAGCAACAGCATAGGTAGAACTTCGGGATGACCTGTCTTCAATCTGGCCCCTAAAAATCTTATTAAACCATTACTGGTACAATTGAATCCATCCACCATGCAACCATCCACAAGGTTGCTCTATTTCCTTCCATCTTTCCCAGCATTATGGGCTTCTCAAGACAGCTGAGTAATGTGCCTTGACTGAGACTCTGTATTGATTTGTCTTATGATCTGTTTCCTTGTTTTTTGACTCCCATTCTTGGGTGTCTTTTCCAACACCAACATTGACTCTTTCTGTCTTGCTTCTTCAAAATCCCTTCCCCCCCCCCCTTTTTTTTTTTTGTTTCCATGGAGTGACATAAAGAAAATTATTTGCTGTATCATTCTGAATGTTGTAGGTATAGGCATATCATGTCCTCCAAATATCTTTTGCAAGGCCTTCATTGATAAACTTGTCAACTGCCAATCTATGGCATATTTCTTGATTGCTTGTTTCTTTATTGTTAATTGCTGATAGTTGATCCTAAAAGGTAAATGCTATCTTTAGTGTCAATTTTTAGATTGGTTGCTGAACCTATTGTCATTAGTCTTGACTTGACTATATTTAATTTTATTCCTATGTTTTCACTTTCATCAGTAGAATTTCAGTTCATTTGTATTTTCAGATGTCCAAGCATAGCACAAGTATTTTGTACTTTTGTGCTTTTGCACTGTATTTTGTACTTTAATCTTTATTCATTTTGATAAAGTTTAATTTAACATTAATACATGATTATTATTTATTGTTTGCCTTTAATGGCAAAGTCTCCTTTGAGTTGAACTGGACTGCTGATGGCACATATGGCCACATTGTTTTCTTACAGCCAATACAGAAATGATTTCCCATTGCTTTCTTTGGAGATGGTAGTATACAAGTCTGGGACTTCACAGTCTAGCTTACAGTCTAGCTTACAGCCTTCATATCACCTTCGGATTTTTCATCCAAGTATTATCCAATTCTACCCTATTTAGCTTCTGAACTCTTGATGAGAGAACATCCCCTACTAACGCTTGAATCAAAATCATCAGTATTCTCAGGGCAAAATTCACAGGTCTCTAGTCTTCTGGTTCTTGTTTCAGTTTCTCATGTTTCAGACTCTTTTTTCCTGAGTTTCTTTATTCCTTATTCATTGACCATATTGCATTTGAATGAAGTAGGCGTTTCCTTGTAACTATTGCATTTTGTACTGTCCCATTGGTACCTTTTTTAAAAATAAATTTATAGTAAAATAGATTATTCTTCTGGTTCCTCTACCAAAACCTCTGTATATTATTTGAACTATTCTTTATCCTGTGTGGTGTAGCCTTTTCTTGAATTCTTTTGCTGTTTCATGCTTGTCCTTTCACTATATTTAGCACTTGACTGTCAAAACAATTTGCTGTTCTCATTGTTTTGATCATGCAACTTCTTAAAATATATATGGTAGCTTCCTCACTCTTCCTGAATGATTAATAAGCTTACACAAATGTGCCTTCTTTTTCATCATAGAGATGGTTTTCGTATTAGGACCATAAACCATGGTAAAAGCCACCAATTTTCACTTTGAAATTTATCTCCTGCAATGTACTTTTTTTAAAAAAAATATTTGGTAATGATGTGACCAAATGTATATTCTAACATACGTTCTTAGAAATAGAGATGTCTTAATTTAAGAGTTACTTTCTTTCAATGCTTTCATGTTTATTCTTCAGACACATGAAGGAAATTACTGAATTGCAGTCCCAACAGAAAAAAGAAATAGAAGCTTTGTACTTCCGTCTGGGAAAACCACTGCCACCCAATGTTGGGTTCCTTCATTCTGCTCCACCAAGTGGCCGCCGAAGAAGAACAAGCAAGCACAAATTAAAAACTGGGAAATTGCTAAACCCCGTTGTCCAGCAGCTCAAAACATCAAGTACAAGTATGTTTACAAGTGATATCTTCCTAACATACATTCAGTGAAAGTTTCAAATTGTTCGATTATTTTCTTGGGATTTCATTTTTTTTTTATTTGCAATTGTATTGTTCAATCAAAAGAAAAGGGTAAAGATCTATATGATTTATTTTATTTAGTTTGTCGAACATGTACGAGATAACAGGCATAGGTATAAACATGGACATGAACAAGGAATGAGTACAAATAAAAGGGGACAGTAGGACAGGGACAGTAGGCACGCTGGTGCACTTATGCACGCCCCCTTTACGGACCTCTTAGGAATGGGGTGAGGTCCATGGTAGGCAGTTTAAGGTTGAAGCTGTGGGGGTTGAAGCTTTGAGGGTTAGAGGATGTAACAACGGAGTCAGTAAGAGCATTCCAGGCATTGACCACTCTGTTGTTGAAGTCGTATTTTCTGCAATCAAGTTTGGTGCGGTTTACCTTGAGTTTGTATCTATTGTTTGCCCATGTATTGTTGAGGTTGAAGCTGAAGAAGTTGTTGATAGGTAGGACATTGTAGCAGACAATTTTGTGTACTATGCTTAGGTGAGACCGTAGGCGGCGTAGTTCCAGGTTGTCCAAGACAAAATTTCAGGCCTGGTGGCATAATTGTGAGCAGAGGAGTGGAGTACTTTTCTAGTGAAATATATTTAATATTTAATATATTAATATTAAATATTTAATAAATAAATAAATAGATTAAATAAAGGATTTGTCCTTAGCTTTCATGGGGAAGGGAATTAAATTAGGTTGAACCATTAAATACAATGTAGCAAAGCCATATTAAACCTTTCGCGTAAATTCCTTTCATTTTTATTTTCTATGATTATGTCTCATTTATTTACATTGTCCGAAATATTGTTAGGATGATTCTTGAGTTTGGTGCACTACTTTGCAGTATGAAAGTAATGCAGCATTACTTTTCTTTTTATTCTCTTCATTCTTTAAAAAAAAATCAAAATAAAATAAAATTAGGTGAAATATGGACTCAATGGAGTCACCAACATTAGCGACCGTGAACATCACATTGGAGACATTGATGTGGAGACACTATCGATAAAAATTGCAAAACTATAGCCATTGTTGATTTTTTTATATACAGTTTAATGAGAATTGATAGGAATGGTTGATTCTCTGCAGCTGATTTTCTGAACATGTATGGATTTTGGTCAGTTAAAAAATCTTCAGAATTTTTGAAGTTTTCTTCAGATAATAGTTTCATATTCTTTTATTGCTTTCAAGCTTAATGATTTTTGCATACATCCTGTTTAGGCAATATATCAGAGCATAAAGACCCTTTGGCTAAGGGAAGCACTAGAGCTCAAACAGACTCTACTGAAGCAACAGGACTGACTGTGTCCACATCAGCCATACTTGAGAGCTCAGTTCAGACTCAGCAACCTTGCTCTGTCAAGGCTTCATTATCCTCTGACATTTGCTCTGGAGTAGCTTCTGAAGGAGGTGATGTCCGTGGAAATTCTGGCCAAGGTGATTTTATATCTTCAGAGTCATCTTTTACTCTATATTAAAACAGTCATTTTTCCACAGGAGAACAAAATATGTGTTAAAGTGAGAAAAGGAAGTTTAAGGCTTTCTTTTTTACTTGCTATACTGATTAGATTTTTAAACCACCTTTCCTCCAGGACCTCATGGTGGTATATACTGTATATATAGCACTCCATGCTCCATTTTTTCCTCACAACAGCAACCTGTGAGGTAGGTTTAGCTAGAGAGAATGTCCAGCCCAACCTCACCAAGAAACATCTGCTCAGCATATTGATTCAAAGCCTGTAGAAATGATGCTAACTGTGATACAATTAGAAAAGCTGCTGATGTAAATCTAATAGCAATTTCACTGACCGTTCAAGGGGTAGATGTCTTAATTTGCTGGTGTTCATTTTGAAAATGAGCCACGAGAGGAAAATCAGTAGAGTACAAATACAAAATGCAGTCAATGTTAAGGAAGAACCAATAGAGCATAGAGCACTTTAAAAAAAAAAAGATCAGTAAAATTGTCCGTTGTAGATTGAAATTATTTGCAAACAGGGAAGCTGAGTCCTTTTTTATCTTGCTTCATATTCTTCGGTTCTCTTAAGTGCCCATCCTTTTCCTGCAGATGCAGAATTTTTCGGATTAAAGTGTATTACTGGCCTGCAAAAATGTAATTCAGAAATAATTACTCTTTAATCACTTGGCATAAATTTTGGCTTTCATTAGAAAGTCTACTACATTCAGTAGTAGCACTGTTACCTCTCATAGCATAGCTTCATGATGGTATGGTAGCAGTAGAGTCCTTACACAGCTGCAAAGTGTTGAGATGATTACAAATGGTCGCCTCTGGTTTTGCATGTTCTGCCCAACTAATCCTATGAAGTATCTATTTTCTTCTGCTGTTGTTTTCACACCCTTTTGCTTATAGCCAATGAACTTACTCCTCTGGGGCAAGGTTAAAATGGAGGTGTGGATGATTAACTAACAAAGCTGATATGACTGATGGTGACATCTAATCACAGCTATTTGTACTTTATAAGTGTCTTTGTTTTCTTCCCTTTATATTCATTTGCAGGCTGGACGGTTTTCCACCAAACGTCTGAGAGAGTGACCTATAAATCTAGTAGCAAACCTCGTACCAGATTCCTCAGTGGACCTGTGTCTTTGTCCATCTGTTTGTATTTGTTCTTTTGTATTTTATCACAGCCCATCTTTCTTTTGTCATCTTTTTCAAAACTCATTTTCATCGATTTATCTAATATGCTTGGCAGGAAGCCCCTTCTTGTAGACAATCACTCCCCTCCTCCCTTTTTTTAAAGTAACCATCTTAATTTAATTTATTTTGTTTCATATGGAAAGCTTTTGAACACTGCTTTTGGCTCATGCCTGGGTATCAAAAGCATGTGTGGAAGATCTCATCAATTTATTCTATAGTCTTATGGTAAATTCTTATCTTGGACGTATCTTTATGTGATTTTGCGTTGGAGTAATTTTTAATTTGCAATGTGACAGTTATAAATGTCTGCTGTCCTGATTCCGGTGATACCAAATCGAAACCCAGGCTTCTGTAGACGAATGGTCTCTTTCACACATGCTTGGACTATGAAGACATGCATGTAGCAAGCTGATACAATTCTAGAAGGTCACTGAAGGGTAGAACATCTGCACAAGGGCTGTATTCAAACAATATACAGTACTGTTTATATCCACTTTGTTGTTGTTGTTATTGTTGTTATTATTACGTTATTTCTCCTGTCCCTTGCATGTAGAAATGCTGAGAAATGCTCCTGCTAGCTCTTTAACACCATCTTTTCTAGGCAGCATTTTCCCCCATATTGTGTACTTTTGGGTTACTTTAAATGAATTTTCTTAAATGTGATTGTTTGGTTATCACAAAGTACAATATGACTTTTATTAGACATTCATCTAGCTGGAGCACTTTACTCAGTTAATTTTTTATTATGACCTTATGTGACCTCAGAGATGAAGTCAACAAGCAGTTCATCAAAGCACAGAATAAATTAAAATTCCTAATGCCACTCTCAGAATAGTCTATTGATATCATGTCCAGATGCCACTAAAACTAGACTGTTCTTGATTGTATGATTATACGAATTGGCTATTCAACCAGTTATCACAAATATTTATTTTTAAGTTCGTTTTTGTAAAACAAATGCTTATTATAAGGCAAAATACTTTGGGATATTTTGGTACAATAAGGCTATATTGTACTAATGAGAAAAATCTAGGCCATAGTTACAAACAAGATAAAATAGTGCCAATATATAAAGAGATATTTATATTTAGTTAACATTCAGCAAATTCAGTATTCATTTTCATCAAACTTTTATCATTGGAACTATACATCTCTATCATTATTACAAGGGTACAAATCAAAGGCACAAAGCTACTTAAAATTCATTCTTCTTGCTCTCCATTTTCAATAAAATAATGTCAACATTTTTAGGCTTAACAATGAAAGGGTATTTAAGTATTCATAAACATCTTTGTATATGAAAACCATAATATTAAAATTCAGTTATAATTTCAAGATAAAGAAATCTAATATTCTTAGATTATTTGGCATATAAAACTTATTTGGTAGTTCTATGTGGTACTCCATGCATGATACGTATGCAGAAAATGCAAGTTCAGTGTCTGGCAATTGCAAGGAGAACTGGAAATGTTCTTCCCTAGAACCTGGGACAATTAGTGCTACTTGCTATTAAAAGTTGTGGGCATTTTTTCACCATCTATCATACTGGTTTATAGGAGCCAATGATCTGACTCAATATAAGGCTCTTTCCAGTATAAGTATGTTCAGATTGATACCTTTAGTTGTTTTTGACAGTCAAGCTCTACAGAGCAATTATTAATGTTATGGTACCAATGTTATTAATTGCATTGGGTTTGTAGACCAATATGGTCAAAGATAGGCGAAGAACTGTTCTACAGGTAGTCCTCAACTTACAACAATTCTTTTAGTGACCGTTAGAAATTATAACGGCACTGAAAAAATTGATTTATGACCATTTTTTCACACTTATGATCAGTGTAGCATCCCCATGGTCACATGATCAAAATTCAGATGCTTGGCAACCAACTCATATTTATGACGATTGCAGTGTCCTGGAGTCATGTGACTACTTTTTGCGACCTTCTAATGAGCAAAGTCAATGGCAAGCCAGATTCACTTAACAACCATGTTAGTAACGTAACAACTATGGCAAGAAAGATTGTAAAATGGGACAAAATTCACTTAATAACTGTCTCACTTAACAGACATTTTGGGCTCAATTGTGGTCATAAGTTGAGGACTATGTGCATTCTGTTCCTCTTGTAAGTATTCATTCCAGTTCTTAGTAAGTATCTCACAGACTATAGGAAAATACTCAAAGGTTAACTTTTATCCCTAAACTGTGAAATTATTAATTGCTTTATGTGGTACAAAATGAGTCACTGATTTTTTTGGGGATGGGATACTAATTGACTTCTGGTGAACCAGCAAAGTCATAACAACGTTCTCCTTATACTTTATGGGCACATGTATGGGCACAGGGAATATAATTCTGTAGGTTACTTTAGAAAGTTGAAACCAAAGTTACACATAAGAAATTTAAGAAATCTCTTTAAAATCTGAAAAAATATTTCTAGAAAAAAATAATTTATAGTAGTTTGAGTAGAAGCTATTCTCTTTTTTTAAAAAAAGAAGGATTTAAATCTGCACATAATGCTTGGAAATATTGATCGTAATTATAAACTCAAAACCTAATTATATGACCATCTTGGCTATATGTTCTCTTAAAACTAAATTGTTGTATAGTAGTAACTTTAAAGACAGTGCAAAGTACAAACAGGTTGTGTTGATGGTTACTTACTTAATAAGATGGTTAAGGATTTACTGTCTTGTATATAAACAAAATTCATTTGCATATGGCTACTGCAAGGAAATTGTGAGAAGAAGCCACTGAAAAATTAATACATAGGAAAATATGTTAAATTTAGGCATGGTCTCATCACTGATTTTGACCATCTCTCCAAAAGGGTCCAAACTAAAATCAAAGAATTCGGTGATATTTATAGGAAGGAAGGAAAGGAAGGAAGGAAGGAAGGAAGGAAGGAAGGAAGGAAGGAAGGAAGGAAAGGATATATATCAACTGATCTTCTTTTGAGAGATTTATTATGGAGAGAAAGGAATTATGTCTAATCATATGTTCATTATAGAATGCTGTTCTTTACCACATTTTGATTCCCACATGGAGTATAACAACTAATGTAAACAATTATTTCTTTGGAGCTAGGTCCAATTCATGTGTCATATCAGCAGACATCAGTTAATCTATAGTCAGATTAATTAAGTATCTTTTTGATGTGCGCAAACATTATGGAGTCTGCTATTCCTACATGATTGAGGGTTACCAGTAGGTAGATTGAATGTAAACAGTTTAACAAGAGCCAGCAGCATCTACAGTAAAAGACGATGACGCCAAAATGACAAAACAGCTGATATGCTCTTGTATCCTGACATTTTAGTATCTAGGTCACAGCATTTGTGTGATGATATCATGATGAAGGTCTCTCCCTTAGCTAAAATTAGAATAAAATATTCAGCACAAGGCTTAGTGAGGTAAAATGTGGTTTTCTTTCTGTTTGAAAGATTGTCATGTGTAACACTCAAGCTGATCAGCACCATTGGGGTAGATAAATATAGACATGTACACACACATATACATGCATTGCTATCAAAGTTTGGAATGATTTGGGTTGTATTTGCGTGCAAAGATGGGTAATCTTTGTACCATATCAGAAACCACTTTATTAATCATAGTGGACAGCAGTACCAACATGCACCTAATAATGAATAACTCCCTAAGATACCATTGCAATATTACAAAGGCAAAGAAGGTAGGTTATATAAATAAAACAGAAAAAGAAAAATTTAAACCAGCTAGAGCTACACCAATTAATAACCTTCCTGCTGACTTTCTGTCAGAATAAATAGATCTCCTTATTTTATCTTTTTAGCCTGTTGTTAACACTGCATTGGATTCAACTGAATATTCTTAACCAAGCAGTAGGATTTTTCTTCCCAGCTCATCAAATAAATAACAAAGAATGATAGGAAATGCTATCTCCTATACAGTAGAGCTGTAAGCGTCCAAATGCAGTTTGATGATAAGATCAAGATGAAGCAATTTGTTGTCTTGCATTTCAATATATACTTTTAATTTGATGTGCCTTAGTTCTGCAGAACTGGGTCTAAAACCTGAAATAGGAAGTTCTTGCTGCCAATCTATTCTTATTTTTATCATTAACAGAGAAATCAGGTATTCCATTTACTGTGCATACAGAATAGGAACTGATTTAGAAGCAATATTTATTAGAAATATTACTCTGTCATGAAAATTGTAGGAGCCAATTAAAAATTCTGCAATGTTTTATTTTTCATACCAATAAATTTCTATAGGCTTTGAGCAGCCCCCTTATTTCTTCTTTTACACCTGAACTGCTGACTTTCTGTCTGTTCCTTCTTGCATAATGGTTATTTTTTATTGTTTAAAAATGCAGAAGACTGTCCATCAGACTCTTTTATTTTTCCCTTTTTAGTCTTACCTAACTCTATATATCTTGTATCATTTACCTTGTAGGGTCCACCCTGAAACGACTATGTCTAGGCAAAGATCACAGTAGTAGTAACTATCCCTCTCTCTTTTATTTTTGGCTTTTTGGTATTTATTTTTGAGCATGGGCTGCTTTGTTTAAATACAATCTAGTGGTTTATTTAAGAGCAGACTGCATTGATGATGGCATTTAAATTATGCTGCTTATGAATTAAATATAGCTTTGCATGTCCGTGCTGTTTTTGGGTGCATGCCTGTTGCAAGATCATAATTTCAGTATGTACATGTGTATTTTAATGAGATAAAGCTGAGTCATATGCTTGCTAATTAACTCGGCTTCCTTATAATGCTCTTTTGTGGCTGGCTGACTAATACAGTTTAATAGTTCCTCTTCTCTGTTGAAATGCTTGAAGTACTGAACAGTCGGTGAAGAATAAATTGGGGGGAGCACTTTCACTGTTCTATTTTTCAACGAGCATAAGAATTCACATTAGTTCAATGCACGAGACGTTTTAAAGAAAGACGTAAGGTTTTATGTAAGTAAAAAAAATGCTAATAGTGTTGCTCGTGGTCTCTGCAAATTCATAATGTAGAAATCGTCATTTAGTACGTTAGTTCATTGTATGTAATACCGTTTCAATACAACTTCAAACTTTTCTGCTTCAAATTTTGGTCATTTTGAAATTAGGATACACGTTTTGAGATAATTGGGGGGAAATTATTTCAGACTCATTGGTCAATTGTCAATACTGCTTTATTTCACTTTGCTACTTAATTGGTTTTAATGCCTCTACTGTGACATATTTTGAGTAATGGTTTCAATAACAGTTGTTCCAGTTTCAGGATGTATGTATAGATATTTTTATAATTAGATTGAATAGATTTAGTTGCCATGTTTGTAGTCTTTCAAATTATGACCACGTGTGTCATTCATTACTACCACCTTGAAAGTGAATTTTTTTTTAAGAAGGAAAAGATTAGTAAAATCTTTAAACTGCATTTCAGTTCAGAACAATAAGGAAGTGCTTGGGAATTCTGCAGAAATATAAAAATTTAAATGGCTGCAAAGATACCTTTTTTTTTAGCCAATTATGACTAAAAAAGAATGAACAGGCTTCTGTGAGGAAAGAAGATATAATTCATCCTAGCTAAAATAATACTCTGAATAACAAAACTAAAATCCCTCTGAACACATATTTAAACATGTGTTTATGCTACTAAAGGGCCATTTTTGAAGCAAAAAATGTTCTTCAGAAGAAGCAGGCAATTGATTAAGCATATAGTAATTTCAGAAATACCATGAATTGTAATAAATAAACTCAAAAGAAAATGCATGTTTATATATACATATAATTGAGTCTTCTCTTTCCACAATGTTTTAGGATCTTCAGCAAACAGCCTTGTAGCATATCCAGATCCTCTACCACAAACAACAATACAGGTTCAGGTACAAGCCAACAACAGTAACAACAAGAAAGGAACCTTCACAGATGATCTCCACAAATTGGTGGATCAATGGACAAGCAAAACCGTGGGAGCTGTACAAGCAAAGCCATCCTTAAACCAACTTAAACAGAATCAAAAACGGCAAGACATGGAGCCCAAGGCTAATCCCACGCAGACACAGAATGAGACCTGTGGAGTAAGTGGCACTCCTTGAAGAGCATTACGTTTTACTTTGGGTCTGAAAGCCATTGCAAAACTGATGTTTGGAGGAGGACATAAGCTTTTTTTAAAAAAAAAAGCATATTCCATATAAAATCCATTTCAATTCATTGACTACTAAAAATAACTTAAGAATCTTTTTTTATCAACTTGGACTTGAGCTTGACAACATATGTATGGTTCAGTATATAACTTTTTGCAAATTGAAAATTGTGGAAATAGTTTATACACAGCAATACGTTCACTGGTAATCAAATATTGCTTGTCTTAAATAATTTCAAACAACATTGATGAACTTTATTTTACGTATTTTTCCCCAAAATATTGTTAATTTCCATAGTTGGTATATTGGCAGCAGTTAGTGGGTTTTGCAAGTGACTCTGCCAATAGTCCAACTTTAGAACAGAGTAGTGATAATTGTCAATATGATCTATTCAAATGTAAGTCCCCTTTAGTTCAGTGGCTTGAACTTTTACTTTGAAGAATGAATACCTATCAAGTCTGACTGAATACAGTAGGGGGCTTCTTAATAAAATGCTTCAGATTTCATTGTAAATGATCACTTTGAGTTGAATAAATGCATAACATTTCATATAAAGAAATATATTTAAATATACCAGAGTGGCTTGAAGAAAAAGATGGGTATAATGAATTCACTTCACCATACTTCCATTATCCATTTTCAATGCTTTAGCTTATCATCTTCAACCTTACAAATTCCTGAATTCATGTAAAATATACATATATGCAAAACTAGAACCATAATAGTCTGGCTTGAACCAATTATCATCCCCCTTACTTTCTTTCCCACCTACAGAATTCAAACACAGCTATTGGGAGCAAGGCTGCTCCAATACTTTTTGAAGCTTGGTGGTATTTGAAATCAAATATAAATTAGATCCATCCTCTTTAGTATATAAGAATGGGGCAAGCCCACTGGCAGCACTGTAAACATCTGGACTGACCAAGTCATAAATAATGTGCCAGGGCCATTGAATCAGGGAAGTGTACTTATTTATTTATTTATTTGTATTTATGCAGAAATTTGTATATTTTCTGTTCCATAGAGGAGAAGCACGAGAGAAGAATCTTAATATATTTGAAAAGGAGGAGAAACATTTAATGAGTGTTGTTTATCAAGTACCAAGTGGTTTGCTTAAGCTACCTTCCTAGAATTTATTCTTCAGTCTAGGACTTCCTTGACAGATTATTGTTGCTTTTTTTTTTTTTTTTTTTGACTACCACAGAACCTAAAAAGCAGTAAACAATTTTTCTGTTAAGTTATAATGACAGAAAACAATGGCATTGGAAAGACAGGGATGTATTCATGTTTACCCATGAGGAGCTAGGTGCCTTTCATTTAATTAAATTTATAGAAAACAAGTACACTTAAACATTTCTTTAAATCATAATTTTTAATTAATGCATAGTAAATTTTTAATTTAATTGCATAGTAGTGACTTCGCAGACTTCTGATATTTCATAATAAAAGATATAGATTGTACTGTTGAAAGTAGAAAAAGGATGGAGCCAAATGGAGGGGTCTGCCTTAGCAACAAGAAAAGTTCCCAGAAACATATATATATATATTTTCTATCTGGTTACTGCAAATGGTTATATGTATGATGCTCTTTTTGAACACTACATAGCTTCCATTTTGGAAAACAAAAAGTACATATGATGACATTATTGTTTTGTTACAGCTCTGAAGCACCAATACATTCACATCTGGGAGATTAGTCAGTGCAAAAACACTATAATAACACAAAGGTTCTTAAAGTTGTGAAACCCACTAAGAGATAATTTTCTATATGATTGTTTTACTCCCTTGTCAGTCAACTAATTAAATGGAAGAAGTAGGCCTGCAGTTCCCAAGCCTGGGCAAAACGAGAGTAACACTTCAGCAACCACAGTTGCAATTGTACCGGCCCTCACATTTACTCCCCTGATACAGTCAGGATTTTGATAAAGCGGTGCCAAGCATTTCCAAAGAATGTCTGTGTATTCTAGTTAGATCTAAGAAAAGGAAAAAGTTGAAAAGTACTGTACCAGAGGAAAACAGAATTTTTATTACCGGGTTTTGTACATTCTTACAATATATATGTATACATAATTGCTGTGCAAGCAAATCTAATCACGAAAGTTGACTGCATGCTGTTTCAATGCAACTGTACTATTCTTTTCCTTATCATACACTATAAATACTACATATGTTATTTTTATTCAACAAATGGCTCTGTTCCTTTTAGCATCATCCTTTTCTCTAAGGAAAAAAAAAACTTTGTATATTTTACTTGAAAAAGCCAGTGACTCTTGGATCAGTTTCATAAAATCTTACAAGAATTCTCTTGTCCTGTTTTATTTGATATCCAAAACAGTATAAGCAGTATAGCCCACACTTCCTCCCTACTCCCTGACCCTGTGTCTAAACAGAATTTACTTTGCTTCTTTTGCACCAGGAACTCCTACAATAAAGGGCATAATTTGTCAACCTGGCTGAAAAGCATGAGCATCAGCCAACAGAGATGTGGGTTTTTTTGTTTTTGACATCAGTCATGCACAAAGGGGGCTACTACAGCTCACTATTCTTGGAATCTAATGGAATATGTGTAAAATATAACTCATTCTAGCTCATGAGTTCATCATATGGGGAATTTTCACTAATATCACTTAATCTAATAAGTAATAACTGTTAAAACAAAAAATAAGAAAATAGCATTTTGAGCTGCTGAAGGCAATTTCCTTGATTGATGGATAAGTGTAAACAAAATATAATTACATATGATGTATGTGTGTGCACACAAGCATGAGTGTAGCTAGTCAAATGAGATATGGACTTCCATGTGACTGAAAGATGGAGAAAAAAAAATAAACACAAAGTAAAATACAGGCTTGTAGCAATGCAGTAGGTACCTGTAGTCAGCACATAAGAATCACAGGACCAGCAACTCCATTGCTAAATGACAATCATTGCTAAATGACAGTGGTAAAGTGAGAAGTCACATGACCACACAGGTTTACAATATCAATTCTGGCAGCAGTCATTAAGTGAATCACAAGTCATTAAGAGCAATGTCACATGACCATGACTTGTGACTTCCTGTTGGTTTCCTTAATTGATTTTGTTTGTTGGAAGCCAGCTGTGAAGATTGCAAATGGCAATCATGACCACAAGTCATTGCAATTGTCAATGACTTGTGTGCTGGTTGCCAAGTAGCTGAATTGCAATGGGATGCTGCAATGCCCACAACTTTGAGGACCAATCATAAATTTCTTTGTTCATTGCTAGCTTAACTTCGATGAACACATGGTCAGTAAGTGGGGACTACCTGTATTATTTTAGGAGTAGCATAATATTTGAGTAGCATTTTGAATGGGAGCATAGTGCTGAGAATGAGCAAAACAAAGCAAGCCGTTCAAGATTCTAAAGTTTTCCTTTATGAATGATAAAAGGCCACATTCTTCAAACATAACTGGTTGTCTCAGATACAGATTAATATCCCATTCACAAAATGATATTTGCATCAGTCACGAACATTGGAGCACTGTGATGTAGATATACACAGTAACCATTTGAAAATATAACTCACGGATGAAATTCATAGATCAGATATAGTTACATTATATAGATATTGTAGATGCATATATGAATACAGAAGTCCATATTCAACACCTTTGCAAACTCAGGCCCTCACCACTGACAATGACTACAGAATGTAAGCCAGAAATAATTAAGAATGTTTATGATCAATTGATTTCTACAAAATTTGAACACAATTGGTAACACAATTCTGGTTACCTTAACTCAGGCATAAGTAGTTTGAAAAATAAAGTTCATACATATGGAAATTCCAACATTTCTATAGCATTGTCTTCCTGTATTTGAAAGAAGAATCATGGTTAATATAAAATCTGGCTACCAAGATCTTTAGGCATAAAGATTCAAAAATTAAAATTCAGGACACTATAAAGGCCTTAATTCTTTAATTTTTATTTTTCATAGCTGGCTTTCTAGCTCAAGGAGGCAACAATAAAAAGTAAAACAAAAATAGTGCAAATGTTGGAAAAATGGTGAAAAATCCAACTAAAGATAACTCAAATTGAACACACAAGAATTGGAAGGGATCTTGGAGGACATTTCTTCCAACCCAATACAATAATCAACTCCTTTGGCATCCCTAACAGCTGGCCATCCAGCCTCTGCCTAAACACTGCCCTGAAGGAATTTATACCCTTCCAAGGCTGTCTACTGTTGAAGAATTAGTTCTTGCCATTAAAATATTTTTCCTGCTGTCCAAACAAAATCTACTTCCTTATCATTTAAACTCTGTTCTTGTTCTGACTCCTGGGGAAAAATCTCTAACCAATTCTACCCCATCTCTTCCACAATTGTTCCCCAACTGCAATTCTTAAGACCCTGAGCCAATAAATGTGAAAGCTTTCTTTCATCTATTCAGGTAGCTAAATTTTATTTTTCTAGCCTTCAAACTTTTGTCCTTTGCAGTCCAGTTAAATATCTTGATCTTTCCTTCTCTCTCTCTTATGCCTTTTTAACTTTCTGGCTTTCTTTTTTATCTCTTCCATTTCCTCAGACTTCTGTTACCTAGACCTTCCTAAACTATATAGTTTAGTCTGTAATATTTTATCTTTCAGAGTTTCTCTTTTTCATTTTCTGTATCTGATGAAGACTCTTGTGTTTGGTAATTCCACTATTGTGGATATTAATCATAGATATTGTACAATGGTACTTCATGTGGCTTGCTCATTTATTCCAGCTGGTTTACCAGAACTGGAAATGTTGGTGGAATTTAATTGGCATTAATCTGCATTTAAAAGCCATGAGTGAAAATGAGAAAACAGTCATTTCCCTTCCTCCTATGATGTAATGTGTTCTTAAAACGGAGAATCGATCAAATCAGCATGGGTAGTGGCCCAACCATTGCAAATGAGGAATAATGGCCAAAAATAATCAAAACACAATTTTCTGTTCCATGGGTAATAGACTCCAATGAAAAGCCACCTACAGTGTACTGTGTTATATAAAAATGTGATTGAGTGTCCTAATGGATGATGTCATAAAGAATGAGCTTGAAGGCAACAAATCTCTCAATGTTTCTTCTTACCCTGGAGGATTCCCTCCCCCCTGGTATCATAAATCACTGATATTTTTCCTTAGCTCTGAATTTTCTGGAATAATTCTTTGCAAATCAATCAACAAACAAAGACGTTCTGAAAACCAGTCAAATGAGGTTTCATATAATGTTCATATACAATAACCACATATCATCAAGATGTCAGAGATACGTGATGGATGATCACAGTCACATCTTACTCCACAATTGCAAAAGTGTTTATACATGGGGTCCTTGCTTAATAACCACTTGTTCAGATACTGTGTCAATTGCAGTATCTCCATGGTCATGTGATTGCGGTTTGCAACTTTCTTTGCCAGCTTCCTACAAGCAAAGTTAATGGGGAAGCTGGCAGAAAATTGCAAATGTCAACCACATGACATCGAACTAATAACATTCTAGGGTTTGCCTAATAATGGCAAGTGTAACTGCCAGAATTTTCATTGCTAAACAACTTGTCGCATGGTTGGCTTGGTGGGGGGGGGTTAATGTGACTGGGTGGGCGTGGCCAATTTTTTTTTTTACTTTTAAAACCATTTTTTACATGTAAAACCATGTAAAAAAATCCTTTCAAAAGGCTCTGACGATCCAAACTGAGTTGCCTGATCGGCAAGGCAACTCAGCTGGGATCGTCAGAGCTTGGCTCGTCAGAGGCATTTAAAAGAAAAAAAGCCTCTGATGATCGTGTAGCTCAGCTGGGCATGGGGGGCAGGGGCAGGGATTTTTGCTACCGATTCTCCGAACTGCCCGCCACCATCACTACCTACTCACCCGAGCCAGTCCGAACTGGGAGCATTTCACCCCTGCATGAAAGGCTTTATAAATGTGTTGCTTAGTGATGGAAATTCCAGTCCCAATTACTGTTGTTAAGAGAGGACTACCTGTATAGAAATAAGCTCTTTTGAAATGATTTTTTTTTTTTAACAGATTGAGGCTAATTAACTAAGACTAGACTCTGCTAGGGTTTTAAGCTAATGTAAACAGTTGAAGTTTATATATCTAATGGGCACCAAGGTTGGGGAAAAGACTCATAGAAACAATTGTGGTGGCACAAAGGACAGGCCCATCTGCCCCAATGAAGTAGCATGAGCCAAATCCATTCTGCAAAACAACTTTATCTGTCATTAAACAGTTTTTCCAAATATATTATAAGACCACAATAGCAAATATAGTGAAATAGCCATTATTTTCAGAAGTTCTGACTCTGTGTTCATTTCTGTGGCACCCCCGTTTTCATACTTTGTTGCAAACACAAGGATATGGTTTCCATACACGTTGTTATTCTGCAATATTGAATATTCAATAATGAATATTCCTCAGATAAGAAATGTTGGTATTTTCCTTTATTAAAGAATTGAGAGGGAAAAACAGCACATTATTTTGCAGATTTAATTTACTTCTTCAACTTAATGTTCGTCAGAAACATACAACTTTTCTTTTCCAAAACCTCTTGTCTGGAGAGTAGAGCATTCTCAAAAAAGCAAAAGTTGGTCATGGAGCTATAAATTATTTATCTTTGTTCTGCTTGCAAGACTTCATATCTTGGGCTGAGACAGTTATATCAGAACTGTTTTTTTCTTTCTTAGCAACAATAAATCCCATTCTTTTCTTGAGAAATTTCTCTCAGTATAAAAAACATGCAGTATTTTTTATACTGACACCTATAAATAATGTTTTCAGATTAGTATTTCACAACGCTAATTTTGCACAGGAATTTGCATTGTGCATTGGCTTGTCGGTCTGATCTAGGAATCAACTAAGTTAAATGGCTGCTAGCCTGAGAATAATTCTACAGAATACAGTAGGATCTACAGGTCCTGCTGTCCTACAAGTCGATCCTACTCGACTTACAACCATTTGTTTGGTGACCATTCAAAGTTACAACAGCACTGAAAAAAGTGATTCATGAGTGTTTTTCACATTTACAACCAGTGCAGAATCTCCATGGTCACATGATCAAAATTTGAGCACTTGACATGTATTTATGATTGTTGCACTATCCCGGGGGTCATGTGATCGCCATTTATAACCTTCTCAGCTGGCTTCCGACAAGCAAAGTCAATGGGGACAGCCAGATTCACTTAAAGACCACACAATTCATTTACCTTCAGTGATTCACTTAGCAACTGTGGCAAAAAAAACCCCCAAAACAACCACTTTGCTTAGCAATGGAGATTTTGGACTAAGCTGAGGACTACTTGTACTTCTAGAAAATATGTCAAGAATGAAGACACCTTTACATGTTTTGCTTTTCATCTGTATACTTGTGTACTTTCTCTGCTCTAAGAATGGTTAGTCCCTGGGTGTAATTATCAATCTGATTTCATATTTACAGACCCTGGGATTTGCCTCAAAGAAAGGTTGTTCAGGGGTAGATGTTAACTTAGTGGAATCACTGTCAAAAGTTGTAAATCATTAATGAAATTAAAATTCAGATCCAGGGGGAACCAAGCAATCCTTTGGTCTATATTTAACTTCAGAGTTCTCAAAATGTCAGCTGCTCTCAGTGATCCAAAATTTCTTTCATCTAGTTTAGCTATGCCTGGATATGAAACTGACTGAAGAATTCTGTGACTATATTGAAATGTCTATTCGAGTGGTAGAAACACACCTAGGGGAGAGCCTTTACAATTATTGCAGAATTACTTAACAAGGGCAGGGAAAGGGTTAACTACTTACTACAATTGGTTGCTTTGGAAACATACTTTCCATTTTATAATATTTTATAGATGGCTAGTTTTCCAAATTTAGCCATAGGCTCTTTAAAATGTGCATAGCCAAAAAGTTAATCCAGCTAATATCAGCTACTGCTGGAGCCATAGTTGAAGTTGCTTTAAGGAAAGCAGTGATTTGTCACATTGATTTGTTATCAGTTCCTGCAGGGAGAAATGATGATTATTTGGTTGGGGGGAGGGAATCCTGCTGCGCTTAAAAATGCATTGTATTCAGCTAGAACTCCCTTGATGTTTATATTGGTAACATGAGAAGGGTTAGAGCCCCACCATGAGAAGGAGTTGTGTGTTCACTCCCGCATTGGCCATTTTTGGCCACATGAGGGAGCATGTCCAGCATGTACCCTCCAAACAGGGTGAAAGAGATGGGTTGACAATGATAATTTCTATGAACTGCTCTGTAAAAGAGGAAACAAGAATTACAGCTACACTTTCTTATGTTTGCTTTTATAGGTTAATGCAGCAAGAACAGGAATGGGGAAAAAGTGTGTTGTTCCAGTGACTTGTCCACTGTCAGCTGCATTAACTTCTGGAGTTCCACCATCCCAGCCAGTGCCTATGCCAGGTACTCTCCTAACTGGCCCAGTCAAACCTTATGTGATGCCTCTTGGTCAGTATGGAGGAGTTCTCCCTACGACCTTCTTTGGAGTGCCCTGGTCGGGCCCAACCACCCAGCCAGGGATGAGAGGAGGCCAGAGCATTGCACAGTTTCCAGCTCTTGGCCCCAGTAGCTTCCAGTTGTTTCCGGTGCCCCTGCAGAGGCCCTAATTTGGAATGACCTCAGTAGCTGACTTCCAAATGGCAACCATCCAGTGCTTAGCTCCTAGGCAATCTGTTTCTCCCTGCTGGCCCCATTCAGGCTCACTAGTTCATTAGCCATGCCCCCCTCAGGCCGGCCTGGTGGAATGCTTTCCCACCAATCTGTGTGCTCTTTGGCAATCCTTCCTTCTCCTTCATTGCCGAAGACGGTTGAGATTCTTCTCTGGTGTTTGAAACAGCTACGTTCAACACTAACGTACTTGAATGGATGGGTAGGAGAACAGTACTGATCTTACAAGAGTATAGTGCCTTGAATTCAAGCTTTTCAGTTCAAACTGGGAAGGTTAAAATTATCACAACAATAACTGAAAGGTGTACTTTATTTACAAACTGCTTGGGAAAGCTTAACTTTTTTATTTGCAAAAATGCAAAGATATAAATTGAATGGTGACAGTTTACATCTGAAATTCTTGACCAGTTTTATTTTCTCCTGTTAAATGCTTTTAATTTTAACCAGCAGTTAAGTGGCGTGTTTGGTAGTTTAAATTTTTAACCCCCTCTCTGACTGGGGCTCCAGCCCTTTGAGTAAAGCATAATGAAATGGATTGCTTTGTTGTTACTGAAGAAACCTGAATGTAAGTTGTATCTCTGTGTTTGAGGGGAAAAAATTATTATGTGGTCTTTCTGGAAAAGCAGTTGCAAGTGACAACTTCTCTTTTTCTTTCAAACAGCAAATTTGGCAGGCAGATGCCCTTCCCCCTCTGATATTCAACTGTAACATTTTTTGCCATCTTCTGAACAAACGATCTAATTCAGTTACATTACAAACCTTGCATGTTTCATGTGTGAAATACGCTTAACCATAATTCTTGACATTAGAACAACAGCCCAAAGTTATTGTAAGATCTTTGTAAGTACGGAAGTCTCCTTGCATGTGATCTGCCTGTCCACCAAATGCTTAAGAGTATTCTCCGTGAAATGGAATTGGCTTTTGACTTGTGCTTCCTTTCTTCTTACATTTGCTTTATGTTACCGTATGTAGACGGTAGACGTATGTTGCATTGTCACCTGTCAGTCTAAAGGCACACAAGAGCCATTCACTATTTATTTGCAGGTTGGCAAGTCTTTGTTCCTTTGGTGGAAAAAGGAGCAAAGAATCCCATCTACAAATATAATGGCACACTCAGAATCACAGTACTAGAGCCGAAGGCACACTGCTTGCACTTTGCCACTCTCAATATGGCAGCAGTATTTTTAAACTGCCTGCTGAAGGGGTGGAGCTGTTTGGCGCTGCCCATCTGTTATTTGTATGAGTCTACTGTACTTTGAGCATTCGAGAACTGTCTGCAATATTTTGTTGGTACCATTGAATATGATGCCGTCAATTCTGTTAGAATTGAATTTTGTAGAACTTGACGCAGTCTTCTGCCTGGGGAGAATACATCTACAGTAAGAGATTTCTGTTCTCTGTAACATGTATCTTTACATTGTTTGAGACTTTATTTTAGATTCATGTATGTATGCTTTATGAGCATAAACACCGAAAATGTCTTCTCACTGTCTTCTCCCTTTCGCTTGCACTGAAACTTCCCATTTGCCACGACTGCCTGTTGTACAGCCTGTTTCAGCCCTTGTATATGATGGTCAGTGGTATAACCTCTCACTACCAAGAGAATGTATATATTCAAGAAAAGGAAAAAAAATAAACATTTTTGTGCTTGAAAAAAAATGTGTTGCTAAAAGTTTCAGCTATGAAGGAGTAATTCCACAGTTCAAGCTTATCCCCCCATCATCAGATACAGGTACATTTTAAAAGAAAACCATGCAGTCAAATGATAGGTAGGATATCTAGAATTAGAACTGAAATAGTTCATGCATATGCTTAAAGTGATACCTTGGGCATCAAAATGAGCAATATTTTAGAAGATGGAACCAGCAAATAAGCTCCACATACCAACAATATTTTTTCATTAATTCAAATCACATTTGATCGCTTGATCATGAGTGACTAGTTTTGTTACCAATATTCTGTCTATTACTACGAAATATTCCAAGTTTAGATAGAAAATAGCCATGGAAAGATGTTTATTATTTAGCAAAAATCAATACAATAACATTAAAATATGATCCCTTAAACTTTGATTATACATGTTGAACAAGAGAAAAAAAGATGTAATGGGGAATGAACCAGATGGAGGAGTTATGCTATTTCAGCATATCAAAAAGATTACTAGCATGACATGTTTTCCATAATTTTAATGCAGTCAATATAATGTTTTAAATCAGTTGCATAGACCTTGAACAGAGGCAGATGCCAACTTTAAACTTGAAATCTTTTGTGTACCAAGTGGGGGGTTTCTATTACTGAGTTATAGATCTCATCCTAAAAGTTATGACCTTTCAGAAGTAAATGTTGGGGCAAAGCCTAATTGAAGGGTAGCATCTTTATGTGTCTGTTTATTTCCATTTTAGAGAACTACCCATCGGATAAGGCTTACGTTAGAGAAATTTTAAAATACACAAGATTTTACTTTGTAAAGTAAAATTTGACTATGTGCAAATTTCGACCCATTTCTCTATTAGCTGAAGCAGAGCTTTCCAAGGGCAGATAGATCAGGAAGATCTTGACACATTTTGAAAAGCAATGGGCCAGTGCAGTGTTCCTCAACTTCAGCAACTATAAGGTGAGCAACTTTAAGACTTAGCATCCAGAATTCCGCAGCCAGCCATGTTGGCCGAGGAATTCTGGGAGTTGAAGTCCAGAGATCTTAAAGCTGAGTGGACTGGCTATTGAAAAGTTCCAAAGGGAGAGTGCTCCCATGTCAGGCTACTGCCCAAGAATGCTTCCTGGGTTCCCCTGCTATAAATCTGGACGTGATCTCTTTAAGAGGTTATCCTTGGCAGATGTCACATTTTGCCATGTCACACTGAAAGTCTAAAAATATAGTTGAATTGAATTCGTTCTTTCTGCAATTGCACTTACAGAAGCAAGCAACTGTTTTCAAATACACAAATGTAACTATGCTTGCAGTGCATACTGCTTTAATTTTATTTGGGGGCCAAAAAAAAACCTTAACTTTCTACTCAAGCAGGAATTGTTAAACAACCTCAGTCCCCAGCAAGATAATAAAGTTATATTATTCTACATTACAATTTGATAGTAAAGAAATGTCCTTACTTGGGCATGTGTGAACTGCAGGGCTGCGAGGCCTGATTGAAATACTGCATCAAAAAGATTTAATTAGTAATAAGAAGCATCCAATTCATATTCAAAGTGCTTTCATGGCCTTGAAAGAGATGCTAAAATTCTGTTTGAGAAAGGCCTTGCAAATGTAGCCCGCATTCTACTCTGCAAATAAAGAGCTGGCTTACCAGAAGCATTGGTCACAATCATTTGAAGTATATTGAGGCCTTGTTTTTTCTCCAGTTCAGCCTTGTTATGATTTGGCCTTTCACATACACTTAGCATGTGGGTATAGTCAGCAAGTTATCCTTAAAATCATGGCCAGGAATAGAAAAGAAGCATTTCTCATATTACCTGGAAAATAAAAAAAAGTCAGAGGTGCACAAATGAACTGAAAGCAATTAATCATTTTGCTAAAAAAAGGATTCTGAATTAGTTGTAACCTTTAAAGCACCATGAAGGGCACTAAGACCTAAGGCAGTAATGAGCAGCATCAAAAACATGGGGTTCCTGCTTTGATATGTGGATTTGTGGAAAATCATCTTGACAATCTCATTAACCGTAAGCATCACAAAAGTGTGGACATTAAAGAAAGTTGCCAACAAATATTTCTTGCACACCAGGAGTTTTATCAGCCATTTCTTTTCTTCAGATTCATCTCAAACTGAATTCATCTTCAGTGAGATGATTTGTACCTTTCTCTGTCCATGACCAATGAATGAAGAAGCGTTCATAACACAAGTGTTGGTCCACCAAGCAGCATATTTTACTCTGCCTATTGCATATTGAAATAGAAAGAAAACTTGCAATGTAGGATCAGGAGGCCGCTGTTTGGCACATTGAAAATTGAACCAGTCTATTCTGTTTCAGTATCTCTGAATGAATGACAGTGAAATGCTGAATAAAGGACTGATAAATACAATTTAGCTAATTCTCAGATTGATACAAAAGTATTTGCCAGTACATTATCTCTTCACATTATTACAAAATATGATAATGTCTGAAAATCAATACCATAAGTACAAGTAACTGAAAATTCCTAGATGGCTCCTTATTTTTATTCATAACATGCTCTCACTTTCTCTTTCATTATACACCCAAATTTCTACTGCAGGTATGTTAAGAATGTCTACTATATTTCATTAACTCTTTTGAAAATAGTTGCACTGATGTAGACGTGACAAAATCAAAGTATCCAGAAGGTAGAATGGGCATGAACAGGAATCTTGTTGCTTGAGATCAAGAGTCTTTCTAATCCAACATAAAGGCAGTCCTTGACTTACAACCATTCGCTTAGTGCCCAAAGTTACAATGGCAACGAGAAAACTGACGTATGACCATTTTTCACTCTTATAACTATTGCAGCATCCCCACGGTCATGTGATCAAAATTCGGTCCTTTGAGAACTGGCCTGTATTTATCAGGGTTGCAGTGTCCTGGGGTCATGTGATCACTATTTGTAACTTTCTGACAAGAAAAGTCAATCTGAAACCAGTAACAACTGTGTTATTAATTTAACAACTGCAGTGATTGACTTAACAATTGTGGTAAGAAAGGTCGTAAAATTGGGCAAAATTCACCTAACAGCTGTCTTGCTTAGCAACAGAAATTTTGGACTTAGCTGTAGTCATAAGTCAAAGACTACCTGCAAATTTTTGAAAAACAAAAAATAAGACGAGTGTTTCCATTCTGTTCCCAGCATTTGGTGTTCAGATATATTACTTCCAAATGTGAAGTTTCTACATATTTGTAGTGAAAAAAACCTTGAACAGCTTCCTCTTAATTGTAAAACATCATGATCATTTGTGATTGAGAATGGAATTAATTTCTAAATTATCCAGTTTAACTGCTACATTCTAGAAATGTTGTGTTCAGTATATTAATTTAGTTTGTATAGCCTTTATTTTTATTGGGGGGAAAAACAGAATTGTGACATGATTTTTTTTAGTTTGAAGTGTCAAGATTCAAGTACCATTCTTTCTCTCTCAAGAATGTGTTCAAATTAATTTTTATATACATATGTAAGAAAGTTAAAACTAATTTTATTGCAGAGGTTGAAACAATTTATATTATTTTTTCACACAAATCTAATAGATTCCCAAAATAGATGGTGAATAGATTAATTTAAAAAGTAACTTAATCTCTGAGAAAAACTAACATTTTAAAAATGCACACTCACACATCCACACAAACAAGAAATGTTTTTACTGCTTCCATTTTTGCTTCCTAATTAGTATATATTGCTATTTTGTTTTTTGTTTTAAAGATCCTTGTATCCATGAATTCTGAAAGTAGCTGGGATTCAAAAGCTTCAGAAAGCCATGCACAGAACATGTCAAGCATTAGAGGAGTTTACAGCCTGAATATTTATCTACCCACTGAAAATTACTATAAAAAAGTTGGATATGTTAATTTTTCATTGAAAAAAAGCATTATATAAAGATTGATGTTCTGTTTCTTTTGGCTATGGTTAAAATTGGATGGGAGTACAGCATGACAACAGCCCTACATTAATGGCAACTTGTTCCAATGTGCTACTTTTTAATAGGGGGGGAGGGGAATCCATGTCTATTTACACATTGTGGGAAAGTGCAAAATGTAATGCTTTTCCTGGTTTCCATGTAACATTTGAAAGGTTTGCACCACTTTGTACCTGATGAAATGTGTGGCCTCTGTCTGCTGTTGATGGAGGGAGCAGCTGTGAGTTGTATATTTTCTTCTTGTCCAAGAAAGGGATGAAGATTTATTACACCTGCAACTTAAAAAGTTAGGACATGAACAGACAACAATGAAAGGGAAGAGTTAACTATTATAGGAATCAATTTAAATTCTACATTTAAAACATATGATTTAATATGGGTCAGATATAGTAAGTGGTTGATTTTGTTTGCTAACCGCTATGTCTGGGGTCCTTTAGGGCTCTCTGAGCTTGGATGCTTTCTTGCAGATGTTCGTTACCAAACTAGGTAGCATCATCATTGCTAGTCTAGTATGTCTACCAGAAGATGCTAAGAAAGAAGTCCGCCTTAAGTACTTATTATACTTAACCTCCAGTATGTTGGATATATGTTGGATGTGTAATGTTTGTGGTGAAAATATCATCCTACCTTTCAAGGCCTGTCCACAATATTGCTATAAAGATTTTCTAGAAAGCCTAGGCTTGAATAAAGATTTTCTAGAAAGCCTAAGCTTGAATTTAAAAGTAAAACTAGTAGAACTACTGGCCTCTCATCCTCTTCAGGTTTCTACACCCATGAAGAGATTCCCTAGAATGGCTGGGAATGGGACATGGGAGCTGAAACACAAGAGGGAAATTTGAGAAATTGGATGAATCTACCTTGGACCACAGGCAATAATCTTCCCCAAATCAAGATATCTCCACATCCACCCTTAATGGGGCTTTGGAAATGGCATGGATATTCACAGGTTCAATAGCCCTGCCAATTGATTTCCAGTCTACATCACTATGTCTTTGACTGCCAGTTGCCAGCAGTTTGGCAGTTTGAGTCTCACCAGGCTCAAGGTTGACTCAGCCTTCCATCCTT